ATTTTGTCCTTTGAAGGTCGCTTCAATCATACTTCGCTCATCTCATTGGGTTTTAGTACTGTTTTCTAAACCCACTGCTGAAAAACATATTGTAAGTGTCAATAAACTATCTTTTTTGAACTGAAAGTGTGTACTTATGATCTGTGGCCGTTATCCCGCACTTCAGTCGCTCGATTGTAACATCTGCATAGAAAAAATATTGTATGTTGTTTTAATGGCGAGACCATAATTTATGGACAAACCAACCAGATATAGGACAACAAGTCACGAATTCGGATGTGGAATTCATCCATACATTCGGCTAAATAGAGTTTTGGCATTATAGCTGATGTCAGTTCGTGATGAAAACCCTATATCCAATTTTTAACCCCAACCATCAACTGTAAGTGAGAATTCTAGCTGCTTTTTAACCCCCATTTAGTCCTAGATAGTAGTTTTTCACTCAAGTTTACTTTAGCGTCGCTCAAAGGTCGTCCATAAATAATAGTCTCACCGTTTTAACTAGTGGCAATCAGACGCTATGAACCTACCACCTGCCGCAACTCAGTGTCTGCGAATTTTGCTGACTACTAACGTTTGTCATTGTTCAAACACAATTTGGAAACTGTGTAGTATTTATCATTCTGGCTGAATTTAAGCGTAATATTATAAGTCAAGTCTTAGATCTAAACTGTAATGCTTTAATTTCACGTATCTCGTCTTTTTCCTCGTTAATCGAGTGGCAAAGAATATGTATTTTTCATGATCAGTAAAAAGCTATTTATGTTCTTACTGTGATCCATATTGACCCTGTTAGTAATGGTAGAATCAAATCAAAATGATGACTCTTGAATTCTCTTAAAATAATTTTCTGTAAGTGCGTGATGTGTTTAACGTATCACTTTGAGACGAATACTGCTCGTAATATGTAGCGAACCCGATCGTTGTTGCTACCTTGACGTGGTAGTTGGGCTCGCCCATCGTGATGAATTAATCGAGCTATACTGGCTGGAACAATCTTTCCTCATGGTCCAACCATGTCAGACGGTTCGGTTGAAAAGCGTTAAGACTAAAAGCAGCAAACCCGACGTCTGAAAGCAAAGTCGTACTGCTGACTACAGAGGTGTGACTGCAGTAAGATGTTTTCTTCAGACAACCAGCATAACGGCTATTCTGCCTTCCCACAAGGAAGGGTGGGGTTAGAAAAGGTCGACCCTAAAAATGCACACCTCTACTTATCCAACTGATATCCATCTCCGGCGGTAAGTTCTCTACAATTACGTAGTTAACATAAAAGTTACCTTAAAAGGTCGTGGGTGACCGATCTAAAGCAGTTGTCCCTTGGACATTGAGGCCACCTTTAATCCAATTTCCTTTTCAAGTACCTCCAGAACAACCCTTTCACGGTGTGGGCAACCGGGAAGTGATAACCGCCCCCATACCTCTAACAGCACTCAAGACCGCTGTATTCATAATCAACCTCCGTCTTCACTTCCAATTTTTCCTTTTGCATCGACTTTCAACACTAAAATTCTTCTTTTGACTTCCTCCTCAAGTGTCACCATAGCCAACGATTCCAGTACACAAAACGCTGTTCCAGGTCTACTGACACCTTGTCCTAAACTACACATTGTAATCTTCAACGTACCCACCCTACGTCAAACCGGCCAGCAGGCCTCCTTGACTAAAACCCTAGAATCTCGTAACATTAATGTATCCTGTGTCTTCAAAACACACATACAGGATCCTAGTGTGCTCATTCACTTAGCCTCACCTCGCCAAAATGGAGGGCCCCCGTTTATCTGGAGACCCGGTGACTTTCTCTCAGACTGTCAGATGTAGACGTGGCACTGAGTACGAGGGCAGAACAAGCACTATTAGAATGCATCCCCATTAACAGTCATCTATGCGCTGTTCAGCTAAACGGCTCCGTAAGAACTCGGAAGGATAGGGACACACGTCGTTGCCTTTTCATTGCTTCTGCCTACTCTCCAACTGAATGCAGCCCAGATAAAGTAAAAGATGACTTTTACAGAAAGCTTTCTGAAACTTTTCAAAGAGCTTAACTCTCATACATAGTACTCGTAGCAGATGACTTTAATGCCCAGGTAGGTGGCTTAAACCAAACAGAAAGACATTCAGGTGAGTATTTTAGTATTCTGGCTTAGTGAACAGACAGTGGTGAACATCCGCTGCAACTGTGCTCGGACGATCGTTTATTTCTGACAAACTGATTCTGAGCATAAGGAGAGACATCGTCTAACATGGCGACCACCTACACCAAACCAACGATGGTCTCAAATAGACCATATTGCCATCAGTCATCGTGGGAGGGTCGATAGAGGATTGCCGCTCATTCTGGAATACCTGCTTCGACTCCGACCATGCTCTAATGCGGGCACGCATCTACTTGCGCCTCTTTGGACGCAAAAATGTCTCACTGAAAAGACTCATTAGAATTGATCACAATCACTTATCGTCCCAATATATAAGAAAGGGTCAAAATCATCCTGTGACAATCACAGAGGGATTAGTTTAACTAATATAATATCTAAAATACTAGCCTCGATAATTATCAGACGCCTAACTAAGACTCGTGAACTGCAAACACGAGAGAACCAAGCTGGCTTCAGACCTGGTCGTGGCTGCATCGATCACATATTCACCATTCGTCAGGTTCCAGAACACAGGCATACTTATCGGCGTCCGACAATGGTGGTCTTTCTTGACTGAAAAGCAGCATTTGACTCTGTAGACCGCGAGACTGTGGCAGTGTCTGTCATTGAAAGGCGTACCTCAGAAGTACATAAACCTTGTGAAGGCTCTTTACTCGAACACTACTAGTGAAGTGAGAGCTTATGGCGAACTGTCATCCGATTTCACAATTTCAAGTGGTGTCCATCAAGGCTGTCCACTTTCTCCTTTTTTTAACTCCATCATAGACCTACTGATGGAAATAACTTTCTCGTCGACTGAATTTTCGGGCATTGATCTCCTACTAGGAGGTACAGTTATTGACTTAGAATACGCAGATGACACTGTCCTCTTTGTTGAAGACGCTAAAAAATACAGTGTTTTGGTAGCACTAAGCAACAATGTCAGAACGTTTGGAATGCACTTCTCTCCCCTCTAAATGCAAGTTGTTGCTTCAGGCCTGGTCTGCGTCAACCCTTGAACTACAGATAGCGAGTGAAGTAATCGAACGCGTGAACAGCTTCATTTATCTTGGAAGTCTGATCAGCCCTAATGGGTTGGTGTCTGACGAAATCTCAGCACGGATTCAGAAAGCCTGTTTGGCTTTTGTCAACTTACATCACTTGTGGCGAAGACGAGTTATCCGTTTATCAATTAAGGGACGAGTACGTTGGGCGGTAGTTCGTTTTGTCCTACTTTACGGCTGTGAAACGTGATCATTATGAGTAGAAGATACTCGTAAGCTACTAGTATTTGATCATAGATGTCTCAGAAATATTACTCGAATCTTGTGGGATCACCGGGTAAGTAATAGTGAGGTTAGACGCATGGTATTAGGGCATGGTGGTAAATCAGTTGATGAGATTGTAAATCTTCATCAACTGAGATGGTTGGTTGAGTTGAGTCAACACTGATTACCACGTCTCGCAACTCTGACTAGTGTTGGAGACGGCTGAAACTAGGTTAGGGGCGGCTAAACCAAATCTTGACATCAGTGCTTGAAGTCACTAACTTTTAGACTGAACCATGTTGGTGGATGCAGACTACTTGGTAGGGGTCTGCGTGACTATCGTAACCAATGGTTGGAGACTGTGTAAGATGGATCAGAATCGATCACAATGGCGTGGGTGTATACACTATTTATCTTCTCTTAAACCGTGAGATTAGAATTCCCTCATACCTTTCTTTTTACGGACTAATTCTTTCTTCCTGTACTATATCTGTATACAATCTTGTTGTGCTAATGAGGTATGGCAACTTGGACCTATGCATGTATGTGCCTGGTCCTACGTTGTAGCTGACTGGCTGACGGAGTATGTTCCAAGGGTTAATCACAAGTTAAGGATATCCGTTTACCTAGTTTGTAGGAAAGGAGAGTATCATTTATGTCAAAAACCATTTTATAGTATTCATTATAACTAAATCTCCTTAGTCGGTGTTAAGCTAACTTACATAGATTTAACTATTCGAGCCGCGTTGTGTGTGGTAAGCCTCGAGATTTTAGAACCGCATTGCCTTTCGTCTCATGTTACTGTTCCGAAATGTTCAAATAATCTTCTATAAGGACTGAGAGCCTGAAAGCGTTTTTTTTAAAGTTGAACCATTAGGTTGTGTGGCCTGTGAACATTGTTTTTTTTCAAATAATTGTTGAGTTAAAAAGTTTGATTTACCAAACAATCAGTTCGAGTATATGGCACGACTCCTTAATTTTTAGGTCACATTTCATGCAACCGATTATTATATGTAGACAAGAAAATCTAAGGTGTAGTGTTTAGCAGTGGATCGTTAGGTTTTGTCTTAATCCTACTCTTCCCATCGTCCTACGCATTTTATCTCGCCTGTGATCTAGAACGATTACCATATCCTTTATAGACAGTAGAGGTCTTGAAGACTAAAGCACTTGGTAACTCTAGCTTATAGTGAACTACCTTTTCAAACCTGTTGCTGTTCCAAGTGTTTTTCGAGGTTAAAAAAATGTTTATAATGCTTTTTCAACGTGCTTTATAGATATTTATGACTGTCCTCTATTTAAAATTGAAGTTTAATGTAATTGTTGTGAATCCAATCATATTGGTATCTTATTTTTGAAATGGTGTTTTGCTTGAGGTGTTTGAGCAGCAGTTTTAACATGTTGGGCAGCAATTGTGGTCGGATTTTTTAAGAAAGTGAAGATCACACACTACTAATTGTGTATGTAACTTTGTCAATTGATTGAATGGCTTTATTGTAGTAGTTTTCTTAGTTACTTTTACTTCCTTTATGTGTTTTTGAATTTAGGCCAACTGATTTTCAAAGATCCATCTCGTTTAGTTTAGCTGTTTTAATTCATGGCTTCATTTGCGGTTCATTATTTCGTCATTGGATTGATTTTAGCCATTGTGGGCACATTTTCTATAAGGTGAGGGCTTCTGCCTAGGTAATTAAATTTCTGGCTCTGTTTTAAATCGTGGTTAGTTTACATTTGTATGATCTTTAATAATAAGTAATTCGCGATAAAGCATTTTCACGTTTTAGTGTTAAATTTATTATTTAGGTTTTAATTTTTTCTCGGATATCGGTGACAATACCTATAGGGAAGAAATTCTTTAATTCTCCAAAATAACTAACTGTCTCACACACTAGTTTCCTCTAAGTAGTTGTATACTAAATATTTATTATTTATTTAAACATAAATATTGGTACAAGGAGTCAGCAAATAGATATGCGCCACATAGATCATTCGATTTGTGTGAGGGCTTGAATACTGCCCGGGTGCTCAAACCGAAGCAGGTGGTTTTCCTAGGGGGCCACACCCGGAGCCTTCGACCTAAAGTACTGATCCACAGTGCACTGGATCAACATAAGAAGATGCAGTCCCATGGAAGCCGGTGACCGACAATTGGTCCATACGCCATTTGTTTCCTTAAGATCCTGGAGCTTATGTGCACCACTGGTTTGGAATCAGGGTTTTCTAACTCCCCTGGGTGGATTCACCGTATCCACCAACTCAGTTAAAGCGCCGGACATTCGCTTTTTATCCTCTCAATTTCGTAAAAAAAACACCGCCTCGAAAAGTCAGTGAGTAGGACTTCCCTGGTAGTGGCACGTAGCCATGTGAGATCACTTTGATAGAGTGTGATGATTCTTCCCACTCTCGGCCGTACCAGGGCATTTTGAGGCTGTATAATAAATAGCGTTATTAATAACCGAAATTCATTCTTTTACACTTCACCGTGAAGTACAGATAATGTTACAACACCAATTTTGCAATAGAGTCAATAATTTATGAAAACATCACATTCTCCCACAAAACAACAATTTGTCGAAAAGTGAGGATATAATTTAATCTTAATTAAGGGCATTAATTAGCAATCTAAAAGTCAAAGGTGTGCCAACAAACCAGTCGGTATGATTATAAAATCATTCAGTAACTTAGAATATTTCCATTTCTCATAGTTTCCAATGTTTTAATTTTCTGTTCGCTAAAATGGACTCGGGTGATGTATATTATTTCATATAATAGGCTATCAATTACGTATGTCATGTGGACGTTATTGATACTATATGTTATCGAAATAATTGAAATGAGACCTCTTATATAATATATATTAGTGTTAAAGATCATTTAACTCTTATCTGATATGACAATCTATTAACACAGTAAATTCCATCGGTTTTGTTGAATATTGTTATTTATTCGAATTTCTTTTTTCTTCTAGCTACCTAATTTCGACATCAGAACAGCATGCGTCTATTATCTTCCCATATATAAGGTGAGCAATTTGTGGGGTATTAGATGTTTACATTTATATCTCATACATAGACTATGCTGATTTTTACTTCCTATTTTTTGGTGCATTTTCCAGTCCCATATTTCACCAATTTCTCTTCAGTTCGTTCCGTTTCTGTTGACTTGGCAGATATTTTGGTTTCTTTTGGCCCAGTTGCTTGTCGTTATTAGTCAGTACCTTTGGTAGTTCAAATCACATTTAGGTTTGGTTAACGTCTGGGTAACTAATTATCACATTCTGAAATGTACGCAAAATGAGTTGAATTTTTCACACAATATATTTTGAAGCAGCAAAAAATACAGAGGGAATGGTGATCATATGCACGGTAAAATGTCCAGTTTATCATGGGAAACCTCTTTCTAGGATATGAATAACTTTGTATTCCTTGGGACATCTTTATCTGTTCATTGGTAATAATTTGCGTTGGTCTGAACGTGTCATCCATTTCCATTAATCCATATATTTTATACTAATATCTAACTCTTAGGAAACGATCATTAATTTCTACTGCTCTCCCTTTGTTTAACGGGATTTAGTAATAAAGTTCTACTATCTAATTATGTTTTTAACTTTTATCAACGAATGGTTTGGATATATTTTTCACAATTACCAAACTTAACTTTCTTGAACTATAATATTGTTTGCAGACAGATAGGATTTTGAATATAAGACATAATGCCATTCTTCAAAGTACTAGTTGGTTTTGCAAATGTGTGAGGAGCTACAAGCCTTAACGTTTAAGTCTTCACAATATTAAAAATCAGTGGTCGGCGACTTGATAAATCATGCTAAATGTAATCAATGTAAAAATGAAGATCCTTTTACTGACCGCTAAATTTATTAAAGCACGGACTGTTATGTTGGAAAAGGTCCTAGATTGCTTGCCTAAGTTGTATTACGTCCACTGTGATACGGATGTATTCACGAGAAAAGCAGTTGCATGATCTCTCTTCCTAATCACTCATTAATTCACCGATATTGTCAGTTGGATCGGTGACCCGTCTAAGTACTATTTGAAACATTAACCGAGGAGCAACAACCAAAGCCTTAACGTTTATTGGTCCTTGAGCTCCTAAACATTCGGCTAATAACAAGAGGAAGTTCGAAATTAGACCTTTTCTTTATTGTACTCAATTCAATTACAACTCAAAATCTTTACAGTAATGTACCTGAAATGTCTGACCGCACAGAAACACAATTAAAAAATTAGAATAACTTCGTCATAAATGATGCAAAAGCAAAGTAATTAAAAAAATAAGTAATGATAAATCTGGAATAATAAGACATGACAAAGATTTATGGATCGAATGGAGGCTTACAAATAAGAGAAGATAAAAATACATCATTGTAATCGTCTACTAATTATGAAGTAAAATTATAAATGATCCTTAATATATTAGTCCCAAAGGTTAAATTTCCGCACCATTCGCCTCGTTATATCATTTCCGCGTGACAAATAGGATAATATAGATGAAAACGGAAGATAATTGAACAAACGGCGTAGTCTATTTATAGTTATAATTACTATATATGCTTTTAGTTCATAGCTATCTCATTTTGAACCTTGATGTCGTATTCGATTTCTTTACAGTTCGCGTTATTGTTAAATTATAAGGAATTCAAAAAATCCACTAATTTGGCGAAATTGATGCTTTAGCTATCAGAAATTTCTTCATTTTTACTTGTTAGAAGATTACAGGAGGTATTTTTCGATCTAATTCATATATTTTAAAAAGTTTTTCAATAATTATAAGTGTGTAGTCCATATATTTACTATCCAATTGAGTTAACACTGTGTTCTTGAGAAGCTCCAATTATTCAATTTAAAATCTTTTATTATTAGACTGCACATTTCTTTCATGTTGTTCAGTGCTGATTGGATGATTGGTATTTTTTTAAAACTGTACTTATTTCTTTCAGCGTTTACACTTTTAAATTTTCTACTGATTATTGATACTATGCTGTCTACCTTTTTTTGCTGCTCTTAAACTAACTTACAACGAGATTTTGTGGTCTCAGCTTTGTTCCCGTGTATGGTCTTAACTGATCACTGTTAAGAATAATCAAACCTCAACGAAAACATTTTCCAGTAACCCTTAATTTTAAGTGGTTCTTCTGCTGATGAAAACATTATTTCCTAATTGATAAGTTTTCTAACTGAAAGCTTGAATCGGTTTCCTAAGTTCTTTTAATAACCCCAGTACAAATCTACACGCCAAATCCGAACACATTGGAAAAGAGCTAAGAGTGATGATAAGAATTTATTTCACTCCAAAAATAGTTCGAAATGATCTATTTCTTATTAGGTTAACGGTCAGATATATATAAATTGAATTTGGTTGTATTTAGCAATCATAATCCAATAACTTACTATCCAAGCACATATTTACAATATAACGTAACTAAGAATCTATAATCCTTAAGATGTGATGAATACATGTCGCATATGATTGGAAAGAAAATCAATTTCATATATCATTCTCATTTCAATTGATTAAACTATTACTCGCTATATCATTAATTAAAACTATGTTAAAGGAAATCATTTCGGAATCAACACTCCTCGTTTAACACTGCTTATGAATTATTTACTCGTTTAAAATAACCCATAGTGTCATTGAATAAGAAAAAGAGAATTCAGCGAAGAAAATTTTCTTTTCGACGAAATCATTTACTTAAGCTGTACATTCGTATATATAGTTATATGGAAAATGTATGTCTATAGAAGGATAGAAAGGATTGTATCACAAAAAATGGATTCGACAATAAATAACAAATGAGGTTAACGTACTAATCAAGGGGTAAGGAAGAACAAAATTTAAGGGTCAGATAATAGTCCAATTGACAGATTGACAGATATGAAGAAAAACGACAAAACAACAAAGGTCATAATAATAAACTGAATGATAATCAAGAAAACTTGTAAAAGGTAATAATAATAAATGATTAGAGTTTAAAGTGCAAGATAGTAATTTAAAATATGGATAATAATAAAAGTGCCTTAAAAAAAACACACCTAGAAACATACCCATTAAGGCCAGGGAAGGATAAAAGGTTGGACAAATCGTTTCTGCACGCAAAGTTCAGGCTTTAGTTTGTGGATTGCCAATGCCTCTACGGTGCATAAAATATTGATTCGAACCCCCTTCGATCCAGTTCCTTTGACTCTGTAAACTATTTTAAACGAAGAGTCTTTTGGAGCGATATGTCCACAGTTGATTAAGTGCTCCTGTATAGAACTCGTGATTGTTTTTCGCTCCCCTTTCAAAAGCCAAGCCGGATAATGTTCCGAGATGCGTTTGGATAATGATCTCTTTGTGCGGCCTATGTAACATGTAATATTTAGAAATTTATTGTTTACAAAGCATTCACTTTATAATAATTTCAAATTAAATATTATTTCACTACATTTTATATGTAATTATTATTAGTAATTAAATTCCTCGTGAAGCAGGTTGCAGTACTCACGAAATAAAATATTTTAAGTAGTAGAAAGAAATTGAGTAATTTCCTATGTATTCAGTTTTAAATTAACTCTGAAATTTTCACATATGATTGCTCTCAAAGTTATCAAAGTATATAGTACAAAGGTCAGTTTTGGGTGTCATGTAACCGGAAGTTTATAGATGTAATTAAGTTTTAGACATAGTTATTTAACCTTTAAAAACGTAAATATAACTACGCCACTACAATTGCAGAAGTTTTTGGTGATTAGTGAAAACCTCTTCTTACATAAGTTGTTCTATCGCAGCAATTTTTTATTGTCTATAGGATTGAAAAAACAATTATAACTTATATATGTTTGTTATTTTGCTTGACTACAGATTTCTAAAACAAATACTTTATATTGAAGTTAGATTAATATGTTCGCATAATATTCTGATCCACCTATCTATTGACGTTTCATAGCGACTGATCATTTCAATCAAACGAAATTTATGTAACGTCAAAATGTAACCCTGATAACTTCTTTATTATTTACAGACTAGTATTTGATATTTGTTTATAATTATAGATAAATGAGTACTATGTATTACTCTACATTTCATAAATGGTAGCTTTCTAATCTGTAATCCGTTAGTGTGATTCATTTGTTTACCTATATTTCGTGAATCGTTTTCATACTTTCATTTGGATTTTTGTGTTTTTTATGTAAAGCGATTCTCTTAGACTTTTTAAATTAGCCGTTATGTTTTTAAATTTTGTTTTGTAACTCAGTGATACTGGTGCTCTACCGCCTGAAAGCTGCGTATTTGGTCAACTACTCAATATATGTTCGTTTCTTTGTAAGTTGTTATTATATCTTTCGTTCAAAACGACAGGTTTACTGAAAATGTATATTATTTAATGGTGGCGTTTTCTTTGGTTGTTTTTTTTGAAGTTTGAGATTTCACTGCAATTATTGATCAAGATTTTATTTCTTTTGAAGTATTTGGACGAAGTCGATTCCAAAACCTGTCGCTAAGTAATTTACAGATTATAAAGCTTTTTTCAGAAAACTTGTTTTATAATGAACATTAAGGGAAGTTTTAATTAATGTTCTCATCAGGATAAAATAATTGTTGTCTTTCATTTTTTTAGACGTTTGTTAATTATTTGTCAATCTGTGAAAATTTCTAAAAATCTCCACAAAACACATTCTGATAATAACAATCACCTGCTCACTAGTGACTGACTTCAGGAGACACTTCTGGAGTTCTAGTGAGAAGTCGTTACCAGTGGAGTTCAACCAGGTCTGTTGTGAGATAGGAACTCACTGAAGACAATGGTGTACGGTAGCGCAACTTCGTGGATTGGTTGAAGTTAGACATTAACACCGTTGGATGCCGGCTCAGTGGTCTAATGGTTAAGTGCTCGCGCGCGAAGCCAGTAGGTCCTGGGTTTGAGCCCCGGGTGGTGCGGGGTCGTGGATGTGCACTGCTGAGGAGTCCCATACTAGGACGAAACGGCCGTCCAGTGCTTCCAGGTTTTCAATGGTGGTCTAGCTTCAACTGACTCATGAGTTCAATCTGTGAAAATTATTTGTCTGTTAGTCAATTGAATCTCATTGGACTGAATACACTAGCTAAGCTTGTTTGTTCACATTACCTAATCCAATTCGCTGTTTTGTGACATCAAGACATTTTGTGCTTGCACAATGTACTTCATTCAATTTTCTGTCTGAACTTTTTAATTGAACTACTTTACATCAAAATAACTCTATCATAGAAATGTAGTGTGTTGTTGAAAAGTAACTACCTTTCACAAAATCCGAAGAAATTGTTGTGTTCGAACAAAGAATGAATGACTGGTTACTTCTAGGAATTATTTATAGACTATTATTATATAAATATCCATATTTATATTTTTTCACAAGCTTTCATTTGACCTATTGGTTATTGTTATACGATTTACTATTCTTAAGTTATTACCAATTTGTTAATTACAGCCTCTCACACACAGTCACTTTTGGCTTAATCTTGTGTTATAGTTATTGAATATCTTCTGCGGATAGTGGTGTTGCTCTCTTGGAGCTTCATTTTTATAAATTTCGAGACTCGAATTTAATTCCGAAAAATCACACTTCTAGTAGGTCTGTACCGTATAAATGTGTTTACCTAGACAACTCTCATTTTAATATGCATTAGTGGCAAATGTCGTTTATCGTTTTGCTTAATCTCTCAATTGCTGGTAATGAGAATAGTAGGTGAATAGAAATATATCAGTTCTGAGTTGAAAACTACTGTGAATCATGTATTCATTTCAACAGTTGAGATCATGAGTCAACCAACTAGTCGGCTAAGCGCCTGGCGCGAGACTGATAGGTCCTGGGTTTGAATCCCGCGAGGCGGGGTCGTGGATGCGCACTGCTGAGGAGTCCCATACAAGGACGAAACGGCCGTCCAGTGCTTCCAGGTTTTCTATGGTGGTCTAGCTTCAATTGACTCATGATCTCAACTGTTGAAATTACTACAATCTCCACAAAACCCCTTCTGATACTAATCATGTAGTTGTCCAGCGCGTGAAAGTAACTCCTGCATCATAAACTAATAAGTCTCACGAAGGTCATAAAACAATGTGATTTTTCTAAACTCAGTTCTTTTTTCTATGACTCTGTAAGTGTGTTTTTTACTTTTTGTTATAAAGTCGTTGGTTTGAGCTTGTAGATTTCCTGTTGCTTTATCACTGACTGAAATTCAAATTTGTTTCACTATCTGGTTCTTCATTCATACTAATGTAATTAATTGCCTATCGTGAATTCATTTATATTCACTAAGCTTCTCTGATAGTTGTTTACTGCATCGTAGGTACTAATCATTCACAAATACTACTTCAAAATTATCTGAATTTTAACTCCTAATGGTTCTTCAGTAAAACTATCGGTAATAATTAATTACTTGAATAAATTCATGATGTGGAGTATGTCTCATTTAACTGTCACTAGTATGTTATTTAATCTGATTTTCTAAATGAATAAACATAATACTGCATATCACAGTTGCTTCTTGTCTTCATATCATTTATCTTTCAGTGAAAGATATCTTGCATATGATTACACAGCTTATTCTCAGTCAGTCAGCTACAACGTAGGACCAGGCACATATGTGCATCGGTCCAGGTTGCCATACCTCATTAGCACAGCAAGATGAACAGCGGATTCATAGGAGTGGTTAGGTTAAAGGTTGCAATAAGGATATAGTATAGGAAGAAAGAATTAGTTCGTAGAAAGAAAGATATGAAGTGATTTTAATCTCTTAGTTTAAGGGAAGACAGGGAGTGTATACACCGACGCCATTGTGATCGATTCTGAGCCATGTCACCAAGAGTCTCCAACCATTGATTACGATAGTCACGCGGACTCCAACCAAGTAGTCTGCATCTACCAACATGGCTAAGACTAGAAGTTAGTGTCTTCAGGCACTGATGCCACGTTTTGGTTTGGCCGCCCCTAACTTTCTTCCAACCATCCCCTACCCCGGTTAGCATTGCACGTCGTGGTAATCGGTGTTCAGGCATACGTAATACGTGGCCCAACCATCTCAGTAGATGAAGATTCATAACCTCATCAACTGATTTACCATCATTCCCTAACACCTTGTGTCTAACCTGACTATTAATTACCCGGCGATCCCAGCAGACGCCAGCAATATTTCTAAGGCATCTGTGGTCAAATACTAGTAGCTTACGGGTGTCTTCTACTCTTAATGGCCATGTTTCGCTGCCGCAAATTAAAACAGAACGAACTGCCGCGCAGTATACTCGTCCTTTTATTGATAGACGGATATCTCGCCTTCGCCATTGGTGACGTAAGTTGGCAAAAGCCAAACGAGCTTTTCGAATCCGTGCTGAGATTTCGTCAGACACCAACCCATTAGGGCTGATCAGACTTCCAAGATAAGTGAAGTTGTCAACGCCTTCAACTACTTCACTCCCTATCCTTAGTTCAGGTGTTGACGGAGACCAGTCCTGAAGCAACAACTTGCATTTCGAGGGAGAGAATCGCATTCCAAACATTCTGGCATTTTCTGCTTAGTGCTACCAAAAGACTGCATTTTGTCAGCGTCTTCACCAAACAGGACTATGTCATCTGCGTATTCTAAATCGATAAGTGGACCTCCTGGATGGAGATCAATACCCGAGAACTCAGTCGACGAGAATGTTATTTTCATCAGTAGATCTATGATGAAGTTAAACAAAAATGGGGAAAGTGGACAGCCTTGACGGACACCACTTGAGGTTGCAAAAGTAGATGACAGTTCGCCATAAGCTCTGACTCGACTGGTAGTGTTCGAGTAAAGAGCCTTCACAAGGTTTATGTACTTCTGAGGTACGCCTTTCAATGACAGACACTGCCACAGAGTCTCGCGGTCTACAGAGTCAAATGCTGCTTTTCAGTCAAGAAAGACCACCATTGTCGGACGCCGATAAGTATGCCTGTGTTCTGGAACCTGACGAATGGTGAATATGTGATCGATGCAGCCACGACCAGGTCTGAAGCCAGCTTGGTTCTCTCGTGTTTGCAGTTCACGAGTCTTAGTTAGGCGTCTGATAATTATCGAGGCCAGTATTTTAGATATTATATTAGTTAAACTAATCCCTCTGTGGTTGTCACAGGATGATTTTGACCCTTTCTTATATATTGGGACGATAAGTGATTGCGACCAGTCAGATGGGATAAAGTCTAATTCCCAGATCTTAGCTAAAATATTAGTCAACTTAATCGCTAAAATTGGACCACCATCCTTAAAGACCTCTGGAGCCAATCCGTCTGGACCAGCTGCCCTTCCTAGCTTCAGATTAACTATAGCCTTTTGAACTTCAGCAAGAGTCGGGGGACCTACTTCAATGTTCCATTCACATTGTCTGGGAATGGAGGGTAGTTGTAGAGTAGCTGAAGGCCAGCTGAACTGTTCTCTAAAATGTTCCGCCCATCGTTCTAAACGTCTGGACTGGGAGCAGATGAGAGTATCATCTTTTTCCGAAATAATCTCACTTACACTTGACTTATTAATTCCAGTTTCTTTTATTAGTGTGTAAAGCTGTCTTGCGTTCCCTATAGTCGCCGCCTTTTCCATCTCTTTTGCTTTCGTTACCCACCACTGCTCACGGTCGTTCTTTAAACTTTTTCTTAACCTAGATCTGATTTGTTTTCGCTCTTCATCATGTTCAGAACCTGATGGGACGAGTTTGCGAGAATCCATCAGTGTGACAGACCTTGAAGAAATCCACTGGTTCCTTGCAACTCTGTGGTTTAAGTCACTAATAGTTGTCACTGCTGTTTCCACAGCTGATTGTATGCCCTTCCAAGCAACATCTGGGTCAGCCTCGTCTTCACAACTACCTAAGTGTGACCTCAGCGGTTCCTGGAACCTACTTTTGGTTTTCTCGTTACTCAAATCAGTTCTAACGGGTCTTTTTAATGTGGCTTTTTTGTGTCCAGTGAGGCGCAAGCAGATGAGTGCTCGTATTAGGGCGTGGTCGGAGACCAAGCAGGTACTCCAGAATGAGCGACAATCTTCTACCGACCCTCTCCAACGATGACTGATGGCAATATGGTCTATTTGAGTCCATCGTTGGTTTGGTGTAGGGGGTCGCCATGTTAGACGATGTCTCTCCTTATGCTTAAAATTTGTGTTTGCTAAAAATAAACGATTGTCTGAGCATAGCTGCAGCAGACGATCACCATTATCTGTTCGCTGTGTCGGAATACTAAAATATCCACCTAAATGCCTTTCTGTTTGGTTTAAACTGCCTATCTGAGCATTAAAATCACCTGCTACGTGTACTATGTCTGAGCGTTTAGCTTTCTGAAGAAGTTCGGACAGCTTTCTGTAAAATTCATCTTTCACATCATCTGAGCTGCAGTCAGTGGGAGCGTATGCAGAAACGACAAAAAGGCAACGACGTTTGTCCCTATCCTTCCGAGTTCTAACGTAGCCGTTCAGCCGAACGGCACATAGACGACTGTTGATGGGGATCCACTCTAGCAGTGCTTGTTCGGCCCTCATGCTTAGTGCTATGCCTACACCTGCCAGTCCACGAGAACTTGCCATCGGGTCACCAGATACACGTAGGGTGTACCTCGTTGGCTCTCCGTTTTGCCGAGGTAAGGTCAAGTGAATGACCACACTGGGATCCTGTATGCGTGTTTCGGAGACACAGCACACGTCAATGGTAAGAGACTCTAGGGTTTTAGCCAATGAAGCCTGCTGACCGATTTGACATAGAGTGCGTACATTGAAGGCTCCAATGTGTAGTTTGGAGCGAGGTTTCAGTAGACCTGGGACAGAGTTTTGAGCACTAGAATCGTTGGCTATGGTGACACTTGAGGTGGAAGCCGAGAGAGGAAATTTAAAGTTGAAAGTCGATGTAGGAGGAATAATAGGAATTGAAGAGGAAGGTTGATTATGAGGGCGGTTATCACTTCCCGGTTGCCCACACCGTGGAAGGGTTCTTCTGGAGGTACCTGAAAAGGAAATTGGATTAGAGGTGGTCTCAGTGACCTGAGAGCGTGACCGCAGTGCCCAAGGGACAACTGCTTTAGATCGGTCACCCACGACCTTTTAAGGTAACTTTTATGTTAACTACGTAATTGTAGAGAACTTACCGCCGGAGATGGATATCAGTTAGATAAGTAGAGGTGTGCATTTTTAGGGTCGACCTTTTCTAACCCCACCCCTCCTTGTGGGAAGGCAGCATCGCTGTCATGCTGGTTGTCTGAAGGAAACACCTTACTGCTGTCACACCTCTGTACAGTCAGCAGTACGACTTCGCCTTCGGACCTTAGCTTTGTTGCTTTTAGTCTTACCGCTCTTCAACCGAACCGTCTGACATGGTTGGACCTTGAGGAACGGTTGTTCCAGCCAGTATAGCTCGGTTGCTTCATCACGATAGGCAAGCCCGACCACCACGTCAAGGTAGCAACAACGGTCGGGACAGCTTATTCTGCTTAGCATACGTTCTAAAATCTCGAGATTACATTTCTTTTGTTTGTCGGTTTTCAAATATTGTGCTATTTACTTAAAGTAATAAAGTACTATCACTTTATATTTCCTAATTTTCTTAAACTTCAGTGAGTTTTCCTTCCCAAATTATGCTACCTAACACCTTTTAATCACTTTTGCCTGTTTTTTAGCGTAGTTCCAAACTTCATATATGTAACTTGGCATTTTTCTTTTAGTCACTGTAATGTATCTGTTTCTCTTATTACCTATTTTTGAAACAATGAACCCCCACAATTCTCACGATGAGGAGTAAGAACACCAAGACTCATAAAAGTGAAGATTTATTAACCTCGAAGCACGACGAAAAATTTAGTCGAAAATACACTTGTTTATGTATTGATTTGCACATACATTTGATAATTAATAAGGAAGAAGTTACGTATATGAAATGATAGCAAAATTACACTCTGTATGTCATGCTGGACATAGTTCATATTAATTTAATGCTTGAATCTTCTCATTGATGTTTAGGACTGCAATTGATCAGTCTCTTATTGGCATATATGCATCCTGTGCGAATTGCCTCGATATTGCCTTAATTCACAAGCATTATAAGCAAAGATGTATGGCGGCTGTTATAGATAGTTAAATCCTCAAAAACAGTTCATAAGGCTTTTTGAAATTTTAAGTGACAATATAATCCCAAATACTCCAAGTTTTATATCGTGTATTTTACTTATGCTAAGAGCTTTCTTTTTAGTGGCTTCTTCTCATGAACTGTTTTACCACCATATTTCAAAGGATGTGGAAAATTACGTGGTATAGCTGTTCAGTTAATTAATGTTCTTAGGTGGATCCAACAGGTATTACAATCACGAGTCAACCTTCTACCTGTAGATTCGTCTTAGATTAGGTGAAGGATCCTTCACCTTCTATTGTCTATCAATATAGTTTTCCTCAGCCGTCATGTTTATTGTGGATAGCTGTCTAGCGATTGCAAGTAGATTTAACTTCGAAATAATACTCAAGAAAACTTACTGGTTTGTCGTGTAAGTGTACAGTTGTTAAAGTGAGCCTTTTCAGTCTTAATAAACAGAGTCCACATAAAATGATTACTATCCTTCCACATTACTTTATTTGTACTTTATTGTCATTTAGGCTGCTTGTATTTGTTTATTTTCTTTACCACAGCTTTCGTATGTATTTATTGTTGGTATCTACATGAGCGCAATGTAATATACGCCCTTGAAGGACCTAACTCTCATATTGTTTTTGCACGTATTACTTGCATCGTTGGCTGTCTAAGCGCACTGGGGATGTCAATTGTGGCTAATTTCCAGGTATTTAATTTTTGTTGGTGTTTTTGTTCAGTATATCAGATTGTGGAATGCATAAAGGCTACAAAAGTTAGATGTGACTGTTTTAAATAACCTGAACAAAGCATGGTGGGACCGTGGGAAATAGGGTTTTATCAAATTATGTTTCTTCAATCAAAATGGATACCGTCATTGCAAAGCATTGGGTCGTAAAGACGGATATTCACTGACGCACCAGTTTTATGTTTGAGTTTACTTGATATCCATCGAATAAAAGAATCGGGAAAGGGAAAGTACATCGCCCCTAATAACCAACCACTAACCTGCACGCCCACAGGTAAACTTAGAGGCTCTTGTAACCCATATATCACAAAATGTTGTATTTTACTGAGAAAAATTTCGGCGAAACTGCCTAAACAGAAGTTTGTAAGCGTTTCTAGAGTTAACTTGGCATTGTTAGGTAAATTTAAATCTAGCTAGTCGTTCCAATAATCGCTCACTAGAAAATACTTTCTCATTGCCGCTAATCGAAACTTTCTAAGTCCCGACTGGTTTGATAGTATACTTTTAGCCGACAAGCCTCTTGGTTCCACATTCAATAAAGTCCAATCCATTATATCTGCAGCACACTCAGATGAACTACTACTGATTTTCCTGAACTAGATATGGTTCATTACCAAATAAATAAATGATTATTATCATTACAGCCTAACGCGTCCCCTCTGTTTCGATCCAAAAGCACCGTTTTATGTGCGTCCTTAATGAAAGTCATTGAGGGACTTACATAGTGATAATATCATGGCTTCACCACTTCTATCCCTTACTCAGCCTGGGCTGCGCTTAGTGTCATTATATGATCCTACATCATAACGGTGACGAAGGGATAAAAAGCCGACAAGTTATCGATTATATTAGATAAGAGGAAACCATTATGCATTCAGTCAACGTAATCACGAACAGAACTCAACCAAGTGCTTCATAATGAGTCGAAATCTGGATACTATCCACTAATTATTAGTGCAAGACCAAATGTAGTCCAGAGTGGACGCATCATTGCCGAAGTTACCACTTCATGCAACAACATACGTGTTGCAAGTACTGCGGTCAGGAGTTTTCTAGAAATTCTTTCGTCAGCACTCCAATTAAAGTTCCAGGCGAACTTAACGTGCTAGTTCAATAAAAAGACTAAGAGTGAGTAGGAAACCGTATTGGTTAAGCTAACCAATATATATACACATTTATATTGATATTTATCCCTCAGAAATTTAAACCAGATTTTCAACTATTAGCACATATTTACATCTTTCGGACAATTAGACTTGGTCCTGACCAATAGTGTACACTCACTAGCATCTTTCATTGGTCACTTGGCCTTTGTCTGATGTATCTGCTTGGCCCAGCGTATCGATTTCTTTCATCTTAAAAATAGGAAATTCGTTCACCAAATCTTATTCCAACCTCCAATGATGAACTATTGATATCAAGAAATATCTCTGTGTTTCTAGATACTATATAGAGTGATAATTTGTGATGCACGTATAATCTAGTACAGCCAACTGGGCACCACAATTAGAATACCCCACGCAAAACTTTAAGATAACACTGTGAAGAAAGACAGAATGGGACTATATTTAAAGGGTAAAACAAAAATAAAATGAGCAAACAAGGGTATTATACAGTAGGGGTACATTTAATTTAATTACAAAACTGGCAAAGACTTCTAGTTAAAGAGATCCATTCCTTTTTATGAAAAATGTAAAATAAAACTTCAACAGGATTTTCATAGATTTCTATTCTGATACATGTCCGATAACGTCGTAGGCCACTAATTTGCACCATCTCTTGGACCCCAATCAGATGATTATGATGGACCGGCCGATGCCTCTCCTGTACAGCATTTTTGTATAACGTCATTACATATATATATATCAAGTCATAAAGTGACCGCCTCTCCTATTTTTAGAACCAGCTCCAGAGACCGAAAATGATGCTCCATGTGGAAGCCTAACATATCACCACAACAAACAGGTATATGTACAGATATCTCCCAGTCCTCCAGAAGTGCTTCGAATTCGGCCTCGAAGTACATAACATACATACGGATATCGATTACCTTTTGATGAGGTTCAATCTGTAGAGGTGTATCATCACATAGTAAGGCATCATCATCTGTCTACTCGAAGTCAGAAGTTTTATCTCTAAGTTTGGATCCATGATACCACCACTTTCTCCGTTTAGTAGTACTGCCAAAATGTCATGAGTAGGAACGCTGCAGAGGAGTGGTTGAATTTGACAATCCTCCCCACGCTATTGCTTGAGTGGAACGATAGAGAGAGGTGGTTGTATACCCTCACATTGCCTAAGTTGTTTGTATGAAGAGCCTTCGAAATGTGGATAAACTTCCCTTGCACACCCTTCCTCCACAGGTAACATTATTTTTCAGTCCTGTCCAACGAATTGAATGTTTTCAAAGTGATTTCATACTTTGCAAAATCTGTATGGGCAAGAATCTACGGTTATCGTTGAACTCATGACATGCCTGAGTAGACTATCTTGCTTCCATAAGTTTTAATGAACTTTCAAAACGTCAGTGCTCATAAACGGAAAGTTCATTGTTGAAGTTTTTGAGCTGTTAAAAAATAATGATGAGAGGTCTTATGTATCTTCATTTATTAAATATCAAGATCCTTTTACTTTTTATCTCATTTTAAATTATTACTGTTGTCCTCTTCCTGTCCTGATATTAGTTATCGTTGATTCAACGGTAGACGCATATTAATTCTGTCTAAAAATAATAATACTATCGAAAATTCCGACTATAGAGATATATTATTCAAATTGTCTGTAAATGAGAAATATTGAAATCAACTAATTTGTTGTATTCAAGTTGATCGCAGTAGTTATGACTTGATTGTTTTACAATACTATTATTAAAAGCATCATTATTGATACAAGTTATACGTGTCAATATTTGTTTCAAGTTATTAAATGTATATTTTACCTGAATTTATTGGTTTTCATTGACCGTTAACTGCACATACATATATCCTATAAATGAAGTGATTTTGTACCTGACACTGGATCTCTTTATTTTTAGTATTGTTATATGATGTAATGTTTTTTAAAAATTCATAAGTAGATTGCATGTTTCAGTTTCATCATGTGTAGATTTTGATGGATTGTTGACATTTTGAACTCAACTAATATACAATGAATTAATTTTAAATGTATTTAAAAGATCATTCATGATTGTAAAATTTGTGTCGTTATTATTCGTCTTAATCTAGATAATATGTCACTCTAAGAGTTGTCTAAAATAATTAATAACTCTAGAGTATCGAATATCATTTATGTCAGTGAATTTTGGTTTGCATGTAACTTCAACCGAAATCTCTGAATAAGATATCTGAAGAAATGGAAGTATTTAAAATGAGTTCGTTAACTAGTTAGCTTAATCCAATCCAGGAAATTCTTTCCCAACCAATGATTATTGAGGAATTTCAAGTAATTAATGAATGGACGACGATTTACTAAGGGTACTCTCAACATTTCCGCGGTACCACGTTCTCTCCAACGCTTAATCGTGCCATTACATAGTATTCTGTCCTTTAAATCCCCTTAATTTAGACGATCATATGATATTACCAACTTCGTGTGAAATAATCGCTTTTGCGTCAGAATCTTAAATAAATTAGTGACCGATTGTCAGATCCAATGGTTTATATGGTAAACAACTGCCACCCTAGTTGGCATGATTTGGATATTTCTTTAAATGCTTCATCTACTTATAAGTAGTTTAGTGTAGGTTAGACGATTTTTTTTCTCCATATAACATGTAGTTAATTATCTTTTCGTTTTGTTTTAGGAAGCATCTTTAATAGTTGTTCATTTAATCGGTGCAGTGATGACTTTCGGACTGGGCATCGTATTTTCAGCGTTAGTCACCTATTCTACACGTAGACATTTGGAATACAATTTCAGGATATATGTATTCCGTCTGTTTTTAACTATTTGTGGTTTTCTCGCGAATCTGGGAGGTGCGTATGACTTTAAAGTTTTACTATTAGATCGATCTTTATTTTCATTTATACTATTTCATTGCCTCAGTTAAGTTGCACACAACGAATGGGGGTACATGCGTATACACACGTCCAACATAAACATTGATAGGTTTTACTTATAACTTTGCTTTACACTTATTTTTTCATTTAGCTTAAAATTATTTTAAAAAGTTCTGTTGACTATCGATAGTTGTGACCGACTTCTCCAGTTTCCCTCAGACGATAAATTTAGTAAAGTTTTTTATCATCTGATGAGTACACATCTAACTTGTTTTAAAAATCCACTCGGAATGAACTCAATTTTTTTCTTGCATTTCCGAGTATAAACCATTATCAGTTTGCTTGTATAAATATTTGTGACATAATCTGACAAAATGAAGGTGTATAATTCTTAGGACAAGAGTTCTCAGTATTTGACAGTTCTGATAGAGTCACTTATTTTATTTATTCGTACAGTATCAAAGAAGTGTTACTGTTTGCATTGTATAGGTTATTCATTACAACTGTTAACTCAAAAAAAAAGAAATTCCTAGGATCAACTTTCAGTCACCTTGTCTTTTTTTGTAACGAGCCATATTAATTTATGTGTTATTGTTTTTTTCAATAATTCTAGTGTTCATTTTTGGGCACTTATCTGGGGGAATGCACGGTCCATTCCCTAGAAAATGGGATCCATCTGAAGTGGTAGGTTTATTTCGTTGCTAAAACACTTTAAATCCATCATATATATATATATATATATATATATATATATATATATATATATATATATATATATATAAATGTTTTATTTACCTTATTATTATTGGTATCATTTTGGGAGTTTCTTGTTTATGAATAATGATATTAAGCTGCTGTTATTAAGTTATTGTCGTATAATGTTGATCAACTTATCAGTTTTTAACTAATTTGTTTTATTTCACTCAACAATAATGTTTATTTGTTGGGATCTCCTTCATTGTAACACTATTGATTCAAATAATTCTTGCCTACTTTACGTGTATTTAGATCTCCCTCTTTATTTTCCTACTATGTGTATTTTGATTTATGACTGCAAATAGTTTCTTCAGCTATTATGAATGGTTTCATAATGTTATTGTTTATTCAGTTGATCAGATGTAATAATTGTTTACACTTATTGTACACGGAATTACACATTATTCCGTTTATTATCCAATTATTTCCTTTTCTTACAGGTATATTATAGATGTAATTATTATCAAGTTTTATTTGATTTCTTTTTTCATAACTTCTGATCATCTGATGAAAAAATAGCACTTAAGTAATTGATTGTAACCAATGGTAAATAAAAAAACTAATTGTTATTATACAATACAGTAATTTATTCTGTATTGCTTAATTTATTGATCCTATATTCAGTTATACCGCACATCTTTATGATTACATTAATCTAGACAATTTATTCATGTCGATTACAACAGAATTTGTCGACTGTATAACTGAGATCCAAATTACTAAATTATTAAATTACACTGATGTATCTGAAATGATATTTAGTTTGACAGTCGTGATTCTATTTAAACAAAGTATATCTTTGTATAGATTATTGTGTTTTTGAAGTACCTTTACCTACTGTTTTCCGCCTAGTTTTATCGTACTGATCAAAGATGTCTACGTTGTATAGATTACTGTATGTTTTTGAAGGACCCTTACCTACTGTTTTCCGCTTATTTTTATCGTACTGATCAAAGATGTGTTCGTTGTAAATTTCATTAATACATGTCAAATAAGCATGCCCACAACCAAAAAATGGCATCTTTATATTGTTTGTTAACATTTAATTAAGGTATGATTATGTAAGTGTAAGCGACCTGCTTCAAGATTTCGGCCACCTGTTCGTGCCACTTAATATTTCAACAAGCATCTGTTTCCTTGTTCGTCTTAACTGATCATCATATCAATTAATTGTATAACCTATTTAGGTGCGTTTGTGAAAAGTTTACAACCTTCCGCTGTACAAGTTAGAAAAACGTATAATCGGAGACATCGTGATGACTGGCCATATGCATTGAAAAGAATAAATATTACTTAGATGTCGACTTCTGAAATGCTAGTATCTAACTGGGGATCGTTCAATATTTATTGTCAATATCGATCAAGAAATAAAAAACAGAAACTCACATAAATACTTCGCGTTGAAAATTCTATATAGTACCAAAAATATAATAGAATAAAACTAATAATAGATAAATTACAAGATTGCCTATAAGTGGCATTTAGCGGAACTTCGCTTGGGAGTTGCTACACTTAACAGCTGAAGAGATTTAGGGAGTCAATAAGCATGGCTTACGCACAGTACTTTGCAGATCATAGACGCTAAAGAAGACAGTCTATGATCAACTTGGGTCGCAGAATACACAACAAGATGCAAATGCGTAACTGAAGACTAAGTATACATATTGCATAAACATTCTTTAGTTTAAGAAATATGGATCCTATCCTGCTATCCTTTTCTGAACAACCGTGTTATGATATAAACAGGACTATATTAATACATTACTTTACGTTATATAGCTTTTGCAGTAATTTTAATGTTTCACTTTCTAGAACAATATTGTTTCCGTTTAGATCCTCATCAGGCTTTACTCTTATATACAGTAATATTTATATGCATATATGAAATTATTAAACCAATCAAGGTAGTTTATGAGTCAATGATAACAATGTGAAAGATTACATAATAGGTGAAAAGTCAGTATCTGGGGTAGTTCAATAACGTAGAAATGTACTTATATCTCATCAATACTATATTTTATTTTATTTTATGTAGGGTTTCAAATATCATGCATTGAGTAGCTTTTGCGAATGGTTAATGTCCTTCACATTCTTACTGTTTTTCGCTTCTATGATATTTGAACTGAGGAACTATGAGTTGGAGTCGGTTAAAGTAAGATTTTACTATTGTCATTATTATCTATAATCGTAACATTTACTTTGTGGGGCAATGTCTAATAAGAACAAATATGCAGAACTATCATCGCGACACCCATTATCAAATTTTGCAGGGTTGGTATTACGACTAACGTATTCTCCTGATATAATGCTCAATTACATTTTCAATAAATTTAAATGATACAGGTGTGATTTCACAATGATTAGAAAATTGTATTTCTGACGTTTCGTGAATTAATCCTAGTCACTTCTTCAAAGTCGACAAATAAAATTCATTTTGTTCTAAAATAGTGTAGTGGTCATTTGATAAACTGAAAGTTCACCATGGTTGTTCAGTATACCTAGAAAACCTAGGTATTCTTAACAATACTGAGACTTATAAGTAATAAAAATTTAAAGTTCTGGAGAAATAAAAACTGAACCTGTTCATCATATCCTAGGAATGGCCACTATTATTATTATTATCATTATTGAGTTTTCAGTCCATTTGCTTTCTTTTAAGCAACCCCAACTAATTGAATAAGAAAAATAAGTCATTTATCTTAGTTAAGATTTAGTGGCCCCTATATCTGACTCCGATTGGATCGTATGGATGGTTGTTATCGAAATATACATGCCGCCAATTCTCGTTTATTATTATCGAATTAATTCGCGTTAGTGAAAAACGGGATTAAAATTAGTAAAACACGAGAATAGATTTCGAATACGTATAATGGGCGGCCTGCTTAAGCATCTGGGCTACCTGTTCCTGTCATCTAAATATTTCAACAAGTTATCTATTTTTGTTTGTTTTAATATATCATTATGTATATTAATCGCATAACCCATCCTTGTGCATTTCTGAAAAGTTTACAACCTTTCGTTGTCAAAGTTACTAAAAGCTCATTAAGACATAATGTGGTCGCTGGCAATATGCAGAGAAAAGAATATACATTATTCAGATGTTTATTTACTGGACTGCTAACATCTAACTGGCTATCACTCAATATTTATCGTCAGCATCGACCCAGAAGAAAGAAACGGAAACTTGTTGAAATACTTTGTGCTGAGAATTCTATATTGTACCGAAAATATAATATTGAATAAAGCTTATAATAATAAAATAAAATAAAAATAATATTGCATACAATCGTTGGTCCAGACAGACGATCAGAGAAACGAAATGACGCGCAGTGGATAAGGCGAGTGAACCAACTCGTAAACCGATATTTATAGTCAACACACATGCGATCATAAAAGTCAGGATAAACAAGCGAATTACTGACAGGGAGAAGAAACAGACTGACCTGTCCAGAGGCCAAAATAACCTATGTGAGTTTAACATACTACAAAGATTCTACAGCATTTAACACCCATTGTTTATAATACTTTTGATTTGCAATGCCTAGACCAGTGTGCTGGTTATACAATTACTATCATTATAGTTAGATGTAAACATAGACCCAGTATTATTAATTTACACTTTTTTGCCAGTAATTTGTTTATAATTCATTATTACGATCATTCTATCCAATGCTTACACTACATCAGTTAACTGGCAAAATATGTTTGGATTATGATTTTAAGTTATTGATTTTGATACAAACTTATTAATATTGTGGATGATGATTCCTAACTGTCTAATTAATTTCCTTTTTTTATATTAGATAAGGCGTATAGTTATTGCGCATGAAAACAATGAACAAACACCTCTCCTCGCTTAAGCCATCACTTTCTGTTCTTATGTAACTACAACTCAGTGAATAAGAACAAAGTGCTTTAATCCATTTCATTAGGATTACAATTTTTATTTAACTTGATACACGATGTAATCTATTTCTTAATGTTGATTTTGTAATTTTTTCTACTTTCATCGAAAGAACGAATTTAATTCGGAAAAATATTAAGCCTTCTGTATTTTGTTAGGCAAAAAAGAAAATAAAACAACCACCGACACATCAGAATCTAATTGCACTTTGGAAATTCCTCTTCCGATTTAGCGATAACTTAACTTCTGGGTCAATTACATGTTTTAGTAATCAGTCTTGAAGCTCATAGTTTGTATAGACCAGTATTACTACCCAGCAATCCGAACCGAAATTTTTGACCTTTCTGTGAACCTGAGACCAAATGGCTAAAAGATTTGTTGTGACATTTACTTATTAAATCACACTCGTGATTTGATTTTCAAGTTTCGTGAATTCATCTCCCATACATCAATAAACCTACAATACAGTGTTTTTTACATTTTGAGTAATGAGAAATCCAAACACAAAACGTTTGGATTAAAGCCGTGTATTTGAACATGTACATAATTACTACATCATGATTAACATGTGTAACAGTGATATCAGGTATAACATTGAAATACACTATCCTACATGAGTATTTATTTGGTAATTATTAGACGCTAACTTTGTAATAGCAGTAGACCGAAATACATGAAGAATTTTTTTTAATATCTTCAAATTTACAAATAATAGCATCATTTCACTTTTAAATGTATTCACAGGTATACAGTGTCATAGACTAGTCTGCTAAACGTGTCATCTATTCTTGGAACGATCTTTCTCTATTTTAACTTTTTTACATCATAATATCACTACAAAACAACAACAAACTTGATAAAATTAATTTTTCTTTTACTTACATCATGAAATTATAATGAGATAGTTACAGTTTATATGATGATTTCATGAACCAAATCTGTAATAAATTATTTCAGTTAAAACAAAATGACAAGTATACACGATTTCTTTTAATTAAAAAAAGGATTAGTTAACTATGCAAATATAATTTCATAAAAAGTTGGTTATAAATGATCTTCTACTTCAATGAAGAAATCTTAAATATGAAAAAGAACAGTGGATAGATAAGAGATGTGATCCGAAATTCATCTCCTATTTAAAGGTAGCTTAAATCTAGAAAAAAAATTCTAGGAAAGCATATTGTCATCATTATTATTACCATAATTATCATCACTTATTATACTCCATCGATGAACAATCTATAAAGATGAATAAAAAACAAATTTCAATACGACTGACACGTAAATTATATACCACACAAGCACTATTATAATAGCTAACTGATACAATCTAGTTAATTATAATTTATCCAACTTTATAATAGAATAACGGTTTGATAATCGAATTCAAATAATCTAATCAAAGTTTCATTTCGACGGTCTTCTTTTTTTTTGTTTTTGAAAAAAGCTTTCATATGGTTTTTTAATACATTAAGTCATTTTTTTCTCTGTCACTTGTAGTTATTTCAAACAACAAGACACTGGTTGGTTAAAACTTTTTTGAGAAAGTTAATTGAGTTCCAAGATGAAAAAAGTTCGCTTGTGTTAAAATGGATGTCTAATATATTTTGTATCGACTCAATTAGGAAATTATCTTAAATGATTGTACTTTAAACTATAAATCCTTGTACAATAAGCTTGTAATCGACACTTCATGGAAGCGGAGACTTTAACTAATCTTTTTCTTTAAAATACTGAATAAATTTTTTACACATCCACTAGTGCAATTCAATATGCTGAAACAGTAATGAACTGCGTAGCTGTTTATCATTCAATTTTTGTGAGTCGAATAATTTGCCGCAATCTGTCCATGAAATAAAATCACTATCAATTGTTTGCTGTATCTATGGTCTGAATTTTCTTAGACCTTTAAGTATATCCCATCCTACTAGTGAACTTATAGGAACATTAAGAGTTTGATCGCTATCGACACGATTCCACTCGTTAAACCTCCCTAACTGAAAATATTTTACACCTAGAGCGTCCCTGGTACTTACTCACTTACGCCTGTTACTCCCAATGGAGCATAGGCCGCCGACCAGCATTCTCCAACCCAGTCAGCTTTTACGGGTACGAGGGCTGATGTCACTTCCCGGCTGCCCACACCGTGGAAGGGTATTTCTTGAGGAACCTGAAAAGGAAATTGGATTAGTATTGGCCTTAACGACCTGGGAGCGTGACTGCAGAGCCCAAGGGACAACTGCTTGAGGCCGATCGCGCACGGCCCTTTTGTGGAAGGTTTTTGACGTGTTAGCTCCGTTTTTCAAGGGCCTTACCGCCGGAGACGGAAATCCGTGAGGTGTGACATTTTTAGGGTCGACCTTTTCTAACCCCACCCCTCCTTGTGGGAAGGCAGCATCGCTGTCATGCTGGTTGTCCGAGAGAAACATCTTACTGCTGTCACACCTCTCTACAGTCAGCAGTACGACTTTGTCCTCAGACCTTGAGTTGCTGCTTTTAGTCTTACCGCTCTCCAATCGACCTGCCTGGCATGGTAGAACCTACAGGAACATATGTTCCAGCCAATATAGCTCGGTTGGGTCATCACGATAGGCAAGCCCGACCACCGCGTCAAGGTAGCAGCTTCGGTCGGGATTCTCCAACCCACTCTGTCCTGGGCCTTCTTTTCTAGTTCCACCCAATTCTTGTTCATTTTTCTCATGTCTATTTCCACTTCTCGGCGTAATGTGTTCTTTGGTCTTCCTCTTTTCCTTTGGCCTTGAGGATTCCATGTGAGGGCTTGTCTTGTGATGCAGTTGGGTGCTTTCATCAATGTGTGTCCTATCCACTTCCAGCGCTTCTTCCTGATTTCTTCCTCCACTGGGATCTAGTTTGTTCTCTCCCACAGTACGTTGTTGCTAATAGTGTCCGGCCAATGGATCTGAAGCATTTTGCGTAGACAATTGTTAAACACCTGTATTTTCTGGATGATGGCTTTCGTAGTTCTCCAGGTTTCTGGCCCATATAGTAGAACTGTCTTGACATTTGTATTGAAAATCCTGACCTTGGTGTTGGTTGACAGTTGCTTTGAGTTCCAGATGTTCTTCAGCTGTAAATATGCTGCTCTTGCTTTACCGATCTGCGCTTACACATCTGTATCAGACCCACCATGTTCATCAACGATGCTGTTCAAATATGTAAAAGTCTTTACATCTTCCAAATCTCCATCAATTGTGACTGCTGTTGTATCGGAGAATCTTACAGCGTCCCTGGTATACTAAAATAATTTAAATAATGTCTAGCTCGAACAGTGGATCACTAAACAAAATGGCACATGCATACCAATACATCTGTAATGGAAATTATTGCTGTTGCTTCTTGCTTCGTTTATTTTATTATCTCTACTTATAAGATTATTATAATCATTCCGTTGTTGCACTGAAAATGACCTTGAACACACTTCACACATTAACAGGATATACATTTACAAAGAAATAATGGTAGAAAACTGATATCCTGTGCTAATGTATTCCTTGTGGAAAATGTACTACCTAAACAATTTTTAGCCATAACAATTCAAGCAATCCAAGATTATATATAGCTCTTTTATGTTTAACATTGCTGCCCACATCAAACTGATCATGTCTATAAACTGGAAAAGATTCCTGTAATCTTCATAAAGTTTGTTCATTTTCATCTAGACTTTTTGGAGATGTCAGATTGTGCAAGATATGTGGTTTGATCGCGAGACTTTCATACTGTGTTTTTTAAAAAGAAACATCATTTATACGATATTTTGAAAAGGAGCGGACTTTTACAACTTATTCTGCTTACATCCTGTCTGACTGATTGCTGTTGAGACATGTCACAGTTTGAATGTAACATTTTCAAACACTTTTCCCCTAAACAACGAACCTCAGGTCTAGACTCACGTGTTATTAGGTGGAATTTATTCCACCTTCTTCAGTGAAATTTGATGAGGTTCCATAAATCTAATTGACGCTATGGAATAAATTCTTACTAATTGTAATGTATAGTATTTGCATATGTAAAATATGTGATTAATACAAACTATACTCGCAATAAAATCATACAAAACTCTACAGCTGTAGTTTTATGGGTATAAATGTATCATGTACGGGACATTATATTTCGTCAGTGTATTCGTCTAGCATAGTTGAGTTGGTCACATATTTCGATCCCATAAAAATATTTCTGTGTTTGAGAGCAGTTTAAGACAAAGTAAAACAGAAATATCATTGACAAAAATTATTCACGTGGTTTGCTCCATATATATTATTTCTTTACGTACAGATACTACTTCTAAAGATTTTAAAAGAATTTAGCTTTTTGATTACTGTTTCAGTAAAAAAACCCATTAATAATGTTATTAGGGACAATAAATGACGTACCTTTATTTCATGTAGTTTGTAATCTTTCAATTCCCATACCAGTGTAAAAATAAAGCATATAAATGATAAAGCTGTAATCCATTCCGACATACTACTTACTACATGAAACGAATAACCCTATTAGGAATTTTTAAAAAAAAATTCAATAGATTGATACCAAAGTTCATTGAAATGTTATTTTACCAAAAATAAAAGTAAGATTAAACTGAAATAACCTTATTAATCAATTATAACATAGTAAAACTACATATCTTATAAACAATTATCAAATATTCATAATTTATAGCTAAATTATCATTATTTTGTACTTATAATTAAATCTCATTATCAATACTATTAATGAAAAATCTGACATTAAATTGTTACACTAGATAAACGTGACTAATTACCATGAAGTTTCTAGATAATGTGAAGCTACAAATCATCATTAAACTCAATACATACTTCTCAGTTCCGAATGTTGAACACAATCACATTAAGTTATCGAATCAGAATCTAATGGTTAATACTTATAACTTTAGTAAGTGTGTAGGAAAGCGTGATCTTCATCGGCTCTTATGACTTCCAGCTTAGTAGACTTGACAGAAACGAAATAACTGTTCAAATAATCTTGAGTTTCAAATGATTTACCAACTAAATACTACGTGAGGATTATACGAAAGTTTTAAAAACCACTAATTTTTTTGTTATCCCTTGATATAAATATAGAAAACCAGTGAAGCTAATGGTGGTTGGCTTTCTATGATAAAGCAGGGAAGCGACACATTCATCCTAATGATGTATTGCGAAAATGATTCAGTTTCAAATTACTGACAGACTATTGTATAATTTCTGATTAACAATCAGAGTGAAAAAAGTCTGGTTAATAATATGCAATATAATAAACATGAAGCAAAGCCCTGTATGTATATTTTACTCGTTGTAAGAGAGTGATAATAAGACCGGCTGATTCGAACCAAAAAGGATAAGTAATAGTGAGTCTGTCAAAAATAATTGGCACAGAAAAAATTCAGTGTAATCTACGAATAAGGATACATTAAAATGAAACTTTCTATTATTAAAAATAAAGCCGAATACGTACACTATCTAATAAAACGTAGTTACAGAAACTTAGAAGTTTACATTAATTTTCGTGACTGAATAATGAATGTAGACCCTAGTGCAAATGATGAATCCATGCGATAATGACTCTGAAGAAAACCTATAGACATCTCAGTGTCAAAACAAATGTACTCAAGCTCCATAGAATGCTTTATGATTAATTTATACTAACCAAAGCATGTGATAAGAAAAATTAAACGGTTTCTCTTTGTATTTAATTGAATACTTTAAGTGTGAGATCTAACGACACAGATCGAGAATTATACAACCAACTTCATTTGGCCAAAGATACAAATGAACACTTTTTCTACTATAGTATAACAGAATAACTATGTTTATTAAAAACACGAAAAGAATGATAGTATTCAATCTATGATTTTCTATGGATATTTGAATTAACAAGATTGATAAGTGACACGGAATAGATATTTTTCGAGCATTGATAAACATGTAGATTAAAAGTTTCAACAAGGTCAAACCAGGACAAACTAATAAGTCAAGTTATTCATATGTACTTGTAACATACTGTAGAAACTATTGATAATTATTATTGAAGTATGAAAGCATATATCATTTACGAAAAACATATATAGGCAAATAATAACAATGCTGGTCGGCGGCCTATGTTCCATTGGGAGTAACAGGCGTAAGTAAGTAAGTAAGTAATATTGTTTTGAGTTAGATCCTTACCAGTCTTAAATCTAACATACAATAATATTTAAATGCATATATGAAACTATTAAATCAATTACGGCAGATAATTAAAAAAAAAACCATGGTGTCATTGAATAAGAAAAAGAGAATTTAGCGAGTAAAATTTTCTTTTCGACGGAATCATTAACTTAAGCTATACATTCGGCAGTTTATGAGTCAGTAATAACATTGGAATAGATTACATGAATAAATAATAAGTAAAAATAAATTTATATTGGTTATCTAAATCTTCTCATTGATGTTTAGCACTGCAATTGGCATATGCATTCTGCACGGATTGACGCAATATTGCCACTAAATCATGAGCATTATAAGCAGAATTGAATGATGGCAGCAGGCCGACTTGAGAAATGAGACACGGAAATAACATTTATTAAAAAGTATTAGAATCGCGTAATAAATATTCAAATAAACAGTCAGTGAAGCCAATATTTAAAAAAAGGGGATGAAGAAAAGTAAACAAACCGAGTATAGGGAATGATAATAAGTGGAATCGTTTGCCAAGTTTCATTTGGCCAAAGAAGAGATACAAATGTTACAAATTTTTTGCGAATGCAAACACTTGAGTTATTAGGTCGAATCTGTATAATTTCTGCTGTATGAAAAAGATGACATCAAATTTTATGAGAAAAGGTAGTAGGCATACGATGAATTACTCAAACTGACTTATTTCTATTTACTACATGACCGATATCAATCAAGCATGAAAGTTTACCCCACACCCTTTACAACCACGAAGGGAGGTGTCCACTAACTTGTCGGCTTAAATGTAAAACCTCCCTTGAGAAAGTTTAACGACAACAATAGCAAATTTATATTTAAACACTAACCAAAAGTGATTCAAACATTATGGAACATACCGTTGTTTTAGAAAATAAACCCATTCGATCAATGACAGCAGTGACATCGATTTTATTGAAAAATATAAAAAAACAACTCAAGTAAAAATGATTATTGACTCTTTGAAGATGGCTTTTGAAAATGTCCAACAAAACTGAATTACGACGGTGAATGAATCAATATCTTGTGTTGACAATAAACAGACTACCAAGACACTCCTATTTTTAAATGTATTTTCAAGTGAACCATACAACTTGAAGCATGTTTTTCTTGTTCACTTATTTATATATTGTACGATCTTTTACATTCCTTTTACTTCAAATTTTCATCTTTTTATTTGTGTGAGGAACTTAATGTAGTCCCATAAATTTTATTATGAAAACGAAAAATACACACGTGGACACAATCAAAAACTGACCAGCCAAATAAGTGATAATACACACTATTACGACATAACACATATCGTAAGCCATAATTTCCTATATGAGGTCACTACAAGTCATTGGAAATTTCAGAGCACTGAACAATTTTATTTTTCAGCATAACTTGCAATCGTCACACAATAAAAAAGTTACCTATTTTTTTTAAAAGCATTTTTAATTCGGATAATTTTTATTGTTCTGCATAACGGACTAGGATTGGCCCATGTAATTCAGTTTGAGCAAATTTTTAATATACAGAATACCAATTAGTAGTTAAAACGGTACCACATAATTTTAGAAATTCCGATACATACCTAATGTTGAGTAGATTTAAAACAAAGGTTATAACTATTTCCACAAGTAACTGTCCACTACATAGTACACAAAAATATGAAAACTATTAGCAAAAGATGAAAAATCAGAAGCCTTAAGAGTTCTGAAAAGAAATTTCTAACCTAATTTGACGTAATTCATTTGGCAAGTAAAGGTTTATGTGTTCAGCTTTGAGCTACAATGTTTTGATAAGCTCATGTGAGATTACTTGGCTTCCTGAGCTGAAATATTATGAGGTTAAGTTCAGACCTGAAAAATATTCACAAATACCTATTTGAGTTAAATCAATGAAAAATGTTTTTATCAATTTTCAGTGAATGTGACGCGGCTGTTAAAAAGTAAGTCTAACAGACTTTCTTGCCTGTCGTAAATGCATTTATTTCATGTAACGTCTTGTTATCTTACACACTCTTCCTAACTGCCACACAAATACTCACGAGGAATGACAACTTCCCTCAAGATTACTGTCCACTTCATGTATTCTAAAAACATTTAGCCACTTTTATAAGGTAAACAGAGTTTTGGAAAATATACTTCTTAGTACAGTCAGTGTAGTTGTAGTACGCTAAATGTGACTAATAGATAAATGATTATCCTGATCAAATGTCTTCAATTATAGTTTGAATGTGTTTATGCACAAATATAAATCACCAGACTGATTTATTCTATTAGAGTAATTAATATACTGATATATTTTAGGATAGTATCTACGAGAATCCATCATTCAAAAGTTTTATAAACCTCAAAAATATTCAGGCTATTTGGTAGAGTGCTTAGTCCCAAGTTTCTATGATATTTAGTTGGAATTCATTAGTAAGATCTGTTTGCAATCTTGAAAACAATCCATATGATAAACTGTTTCTAAATCTATTCACTAAAAAATTTAAGAAGAATATACAGTGTGACAATTTTAATCGTTAGGTTAACATCAAGACTAAATAAGTCTGCCAAAAAAATTTTACAGAATTTTTAGTCTACGAAAACGAAGTTTAACTATTTCTCCATACAGATTTTGTTAAATTCATATGTAACATCAAGAATGTTGAATAAAACGATACATTGCCTATTTTCACATGAAATTTATATATATATGTATATACTCTGTTACTCTAGTCCTTTAAAAAAATCTTGTTAGTGATAAACAATATTGATTGAAAGCATCGACGAAGAAGTTAACACAAATTGATGGATTTTACATGAGCTTATTACAAATAACAGAATGACATAATAATTCATTATTTTAACACATTTCCAATTATTGAACGGAAAAAGGACTAACTTGATCAGTTGGTTTCCATTTTCTAATATTATCACCATCATACATGAAACGTGCGACTAATCCAGTTGTTGGTTCTAGTTTTGTTATTAAAATTAAATAAATAAGTGTACAACATTACTGTGAGATAGACTGCAGAATCAATCAGATTAAACAGTTGAAACTTCAAAAGCTTAAAACAATAGTCTCATACAATGGATTGCTTTGTGAATTCGAATAAAGCCAGAACAACAATTGAGGCAGAATAATGTTGATCCGTTATATTTAGTAGTTTCTCAACAGCCGCTTGCAACCGTATGTATATTGAAAGGTAACATTGAAGTAGGATATTATGTGAAACAATTGATGTAGATGAAGGAAAAGAATTAAAATGACAAAGGTCACCAATAATAACTGTATATATAGATTGTGATAATTTTAGAGGTTGTGAAGGCTCTACATAAGATTACTGGAATTGGAAATTGATAAGATGTGTTGCACAATAACTAAACAGGATTTGGACGAAAACTTATGAATGAAGGAATGAATTTTTGTACATAAAATAAGAATTCGTTTGGAGAAGACCACGTAACAAAATAATGATCACAATAAAAATAATTTCTGTATATATAAATCAGGTTTCAGCTTTTTCGTTGCTACTGCTTCGACAAACGGGAAAGACATTGTTTTTTGTGTCCGCTAATAATTTTGAAGGCTTGTATAATTTCAGTGGTATGCTCGGTATCAATTAGATGCCAGACTATTGCACTACTTAGAGCAGTTGCGGCATACTATAAAGACACATCTAACGCAAGAATACATGGAGTGGAGTTTATATAAATTACAACAGTTTCTGTCCAATAAGTTACAACAAGGGGATTGTATGAAACCTTATTGGTCGCGTAAGTAAACTTTATTCAAAGGAAAATCTGGAAGAATTAGTCTTATATATAAGGAGCAGCTTTTCTTATCTACTGCATCGTATTTAATCCGTACGTTGGTTTTAACATAAATCTCGATGACCTTCGCTGGATATGCGCTTTCACTAAGGCAATTTGCAATGAAGACCTACACAACTTCACGATATCCGAAATAACAACACACACACCATTTAGTAATCCCGACCGTTGTTGCTACCTTGACGTGGTGGTCGGGCTTGCCTATCGTGATGAAGCAACCGAGCTATACTGGCTGGAACAACTGTTCCTCAAGGTCCTACCATTGCAAACAGGTCGGTTGAAGTGCGTTAAGACTAAAAGCAACAGAGCTAAGGCCCGAAGGCGAAGTCGTACTGTTGACTGTGCAGAGGTGTGACAGCAGTAGAGTGTTTCCTTGAGACAACCAGCATGACAGCGATACTGCCTTCCCACAAGGAGGGGTGGGGTTAGGAAAGGTCGACCCTAAAATGCACACCTCGCCTTATCCCACGGATATCCGTCTCCGGCGGTAAGGTCTCAATAAGTACGGAGCTAACGCAAAAATTACCCATAAAAAGGTCTTGTGTGGCCGACCTCAAGCAGTTGTCCCTTGGGCACTGCGGTCACGCTCTCAGGTTACTAAGACCACCTTTATTCCGATTTCCTTTTCAGGTACCTCCAGAAGAATCTTTTCAGGGTGTGGGCAACCGGGAAGTGATAACAGCCCTCATACCTCTAACAGCACTCAAAACCACTGTATTCATAATCAACCTCCGTCTTCACTTCCTATTACTCCTTCTACATCGACTTTCAATTGTAAACTTCTTGTTTTGAATCCTCCTCAAGTGTCACCATAGCCAACGATTCCAGTGCACAAAACACTGTTTCAGGTCTACTGAAACCTCGCTACAAACTACACATTGGAGCCTTCAACGTACGAACCTTATGTCAAATCGGTCAACAGGCTTCCTTAGCTAGAACCCATTGATGTATGCTGTGTCTCTGAAACACACATACAGGATCCCAGTGTGGTCATTCACTCGACCTCACCTCGGCAAAACGGAGAGCCAACGAGATATACCCTTCGTGCATCTAGTGACGCGATGATCAGCTCTCGTGGACTGGCAGGAGTAGGGATAGCGCCAAGCATGAGGGCGGGACAAGCACTGTTAGGGTGAATCCCCGTTAACAGTCATTTATGTGCTGTTCGGCTAAACGGCTCCGTAAGAACTCGGAAGGATAGGGACACATGTCGTTGCCTTTTTGTCGTTTCTGCCTACGCTCCCACTGACTGCAGCCCAGATAAAGTAAAAGATGACTTTTACAGAAAGCTTTCTGAAACTTTTCAAAAAGCTAAACTCTCATACATAGTACTCGTAGCAGGTGAATTTAGTGCCCAGGCAGATAGCTTAAACCAAACAGAAAGACATTTAGGTGAGTATTTTAGTATTCTGGCTTAGTGAACAGACAGTGGTAAACATCTGCTGCAACTGTGCTCGGACGATCGTTTATTTCTGACAAACACTGATTCTGAGCATAAGGAGAGACATCGTCTAACATGGCGACCCCCTACACCAACTTACGTCACCTATGGCGAGGGCGAGATATCCGTCTATTAATAAAAGAACGAGTATACTACACGGCAGTTCGTTCTTTTAATTTACGGCTGCGAAACATGGCGATTAAGAGTTGAAGATACTCGTAAGCTACTAGTATTTGACCAGATAACTTAAAAATATTGCTGGCGTCTGCTGGGATCACCGGGCAAGTAATAGTTAGGTTAGACACAGGGTATTACGGAATGATGGTAAATCAGTTGATGAGGTTGTGAATCTTCATCAACTGAGATGGTTGGTTGAGTAAACTGAACACTGGTTACCACGTCTCGCAACTCTGACTAGTGTTGGAGACGGCTGGAACTAGGTTAGGGGCGGCTAAACCAAATCTTGACATCAGTGCTTGAAGTCACTAACTTCTATACTGAACCATGTTGGTGGATGCAGACTACTTGGTAGAGGTCCGCGTGACTATCGTAACCAATGGTTGGAGACTCTGTGTAAGATGGATCAGAATCGATCACAATGGCGTGGGTGTATACACTATTTATCTTCTCTTAAACCGTGAGATTAGAATTCCCTCATACCTTTCTTTCTACGTACGAAATCTTTCTTCTTATACTATATCCCTATATGCAATCTTTCTTTTATACATTACCACCACTGACTTAACTACTCCTATGAATCTGTTCATCTTGCTGTGCTAATGCGGTATGGCAACTTGGACCGATGCATATATGTGCGCGGTCCTACGTTGTAGCTGACTGACTGACTGACATTTAGTAATATTGTGTGCAAATTAGGAGGGAAAGACTCACATATAAGAAAAAGCATTTACGGCTTAAAGACGAGGCTAATAATTTACATTAACTTCAATTGATACAACTCTCTTGATTCCTTTACTTTGTAGGCTCAATTGAAAATATCATTTTAAATGGTAGGAAAATGATCTTATTGGGTGTCGCTTCACTTTTTACAAATGTTCCTCTCACAGAAACTATGTTTTTGTGTGACTATATTGAGAATAATATTCCAAAACATTATCCAAAAGAGCTACTTCTACGATTTACTCTCAACATGCAATTTAGATTTAATGATGATTTTTGTAGACAAACAGATGTAGTTGCAATGGATTCTCGATTGGGTCCCCTCTTGGCTGATCGCTTTATGGCCAATCATGAAAATACGGTACTTCCACCAATAATTGAGAGATTTAATTTATGTAAGAGATATAAGGATGATACTTTCATTATTTGTGAAGAAGACATGGACCTCAATGAAATTTTGAATAGTTTCAATAATTGTCATCCCTCAATTCAATTCACTTTGGAAGCAGAGGTAGACGATAAATTTCCTTTTCTTGATGTCCGATTGAAAAGAAGGCTGGATGGGTTTTTTTACAGAGATCTATATATAGAAAATTGACTTGGAATGAGCAGTACATGGATTTCCATAGCTAGGCCCCAGTGATTAGAAAGAGGAAAGTCATTCACTCTTTATCCTCAAGGATCAGGTGAATTTGTTCTACTGGTACAACAGATGAGGAACTACTTCTCATTGGGAATGATTAACCACCTAGATTCGTCGATAGCCACTTAACACCTAGACATCATCCTGAAAAAGCACCGTCAGTACAAAAGAACCCCTTTTATGAATATGGAATTTAAAGGAATACGGCTGCTGAAATCTTAAATAAACGGATTTCAAAATCGTTGAATAAATCGTTCTAAGCAGTTCAACTCCGAATCTTTTTCTCAAGCCGGCCTAACATTCACGGATGTGTTAAGGATAAACCTCCGCTTTGGGCCACATCAATGTGCATATAAAAATTTACTTGCTCATATGGGGCAGGTTACATTGGCCGCACAAACCGATCACGTTCCAAACGCATCTCAGAACACTATCCGGCATGGCTTTCAAAAGGAGAATGTAAAACAACTACTAGTTCAATACAGGCGCATTTAATCAACTATGGACACATCACTCCAAAGGAGTCTTCTTTTAAAGTAATCTACACAGTCAAAGGAATTGGATAGAAGGGAAGTCGAACCAATATTTTATGCACCGCTGAGATATTGGCAATCCACGAACTTTGAGTGCAAAGACGGTTCGTTCAGCCTCTCACCCTTCCTTGACCTCAATCCTCTTTAGTGGTGTTTCGACCTTTTTTCTTTTTTCTTCATTTCTATCTGATTATTATTGATTTCTTCAGTTGGTGTCTTGCAATTTTAAACTGCATTCAGTTATTATTATTATTACTATCCTAAACTAGTTCTTTTGATTATTATTCAGTTTTTGTTATTATCACCTTTATGTTTGTCCTTTTCTTCGTATCTCTCAATTAGACAACTATCTGACCCGTAAATTATTTTTTCCTTAAATTCTTTTCTTACCCTTGATTATTGCGTAACCTCGTTTGATAATAAGTTTCGAATACAGTCTTTTGTATCCTTCTATAGCCATATATTTTCCATATAAGTACGAATGTAAAGCTTAAGTAAATGATCTCGTCGAAAAAAAATTTTCTTCGCTGAATTCTCTTTATTTTCATTCAATATATTACATTTTATAAAAACGAGGGTTTATGATTACGAACCCAGTCTGCCAGATATATATATATATATATAAACAGTAGGTCTTTTTATAAATCACTGACTTGTGTTACATTCACTGTTATATATATGTCCCAGTAACTCAGTTTCCTTTGGGGTTTGGTTATACATGAGAGTATGTAGATGGACTTGAATTAATGTAGGCCAAACTATGCGCGCTCTTTTCACAGATTGAGAAATGTATATTTATACAAATGTTAAATTTTAAATAATCCTTTATGACATTAACAGAAATTGAGGTTCACCTTTCTCAAATCTATACTAACATTATTTAGTACTGACTTACGTAATAAAAATGAAGAAACAGAAATGAATGTCAGTACCAAACGAGTAATCCGAATTCGACTATGTCCAAGATATTTATATGTAATATATGTAACAGCAAGTGTATACGCCGAACCACCACCAAAAAGTAGACCTGCACCGAGGAGATGCATAGACCAAACAGCTGTTTCCTAGAAGGAAATCGGATAAAGTACTGGATGCATAATGCCGTAAAATGAGTTTAAGAGGACATTGTTCCATTAATCTCACGATAATAACGATACATGTATTTCACATGAATCAACCTTTATAACCTTTAAAACATAGGTCATAAAAACAACGAGCACATATTTCGTTGCTAAAACAAAAGAACCATAAAAAATAACATGTCATCAAACAAAGTGCTCGGATCATCAGAATAAATAATAACTAAAAAATCACTGTATCACGGAATACAGACAATTTAGAAAAGCGTAAGTAATACTCCGCATACACTTTGATAAAAGTTTACCAAAGTCGACGTAGGCGAGATATCCATCTAACAACGAAAGGACGTATTTACTGCGCAGCAGTTCGTGTCGTTCCACTTTATGGCAGTGAAACATGGCCAGTAACAGTAAAGGATATTCGTAGGTTACTAGTATTCGATCATAGCTGTCTTCGAAACACTGATCGTATATCGTGGGACTACCGAGTAAGTGATGCAGTCTTTGGGACACGGGTGCTAGGTAAGGATGGCAAACCAATTGATGAAGTATCGGATGCGCACTGCTGAGGTGTCCTATACTGGGACGAAATGGCTCTCAAGTGCTTCCAGGTTTTCCATGGTGGTCTAGCTTCAATTGACTCATGAATTCAATTATTAAATTACTAAAATCACTACAAAATCCTCTTCTGATAATAATCATCATGTGCTCACTAGTGACTGGTTTCAAGAGATATTTCCTAGAGTTCTAATGAAAATCCGTGACCAGTGGAGCGTAATCAGGTCTGTTGTGAGACAGTTTCGCAGGCGTAAGAAAAAAAGCCGTTGCGTAGACAATCTTTGAGTATTTAACTTAGAGCACTTTTCAAATACATTCAGTGATTTTAAGATTATTTATACACTTCGTTTTCAATTGCCAAAATTTATATTGTGATTCTTTAAAACGGTAAGATTTTTGACTATTCATAACATAAGGCTTGAATTATGTATGTACACATATCTTACCTTTCTATTTGTCTTGGGTCTTAATCAATTATTGTTGTGGTTATTAATATTATTATATTCCCCATAGTTTTCTAGTCAGAAAATTCCCTACTTCCCTAAACTGTTTTTCATACTGCCTTAAATTCCTCACTCAATCATTTCACGTATTAGTTACCTAATACCTTCACTTTTCATGATGACATAAATGAAGCGTCTATTTTAATGAACCTACACCATTCAAACAATCGTGTATTACTTCTCTGTTGATGTTATACGCCGTTTTCAGCTACAAACACCACATAGTCATTACGCAACCTTAGAATAACAGTCCTTGTAATTACATCACTATAATTACTCAGTGATATAGTTTTCTCATGTAATGTGTACATTAAAATATGTATGACATATATACACAGTGATAATCGATTCATAAAGGAAATCGCTTTTACAGTGTGCTTTTTTTCTCGTTACGACATTTGATTCTAAAATAAAATTTAGGCACAAATGAATCGATAGATAAGTAAATTACAAGAATCGTATTTCTTATTTGGTAGGAAGTCAGAGGTAATCGACAGGAAGCCCTAGACATAGTTTTCGTGCAAGTTAGCACTCATCGGCAAGTTAAACAATTGTAAATTTTAAAAGATACCTGAAAATAGCATATTATTGAGTATAATTTTTCTTGTACTTTGAAAATACAGTTCGACGCACCAACAGTAAAAAAATACGAAGAGAAAAGATTGAAATGGACACTGAAAAATCCGAAAACTTTTACGGTAAAGTGTCTAGTGTCCCCCTGGAGACTATAATAAATAAATAAAACCGTCGAAATTGTGTCACAGACAACTGTACTTTAGTTATACAGTGTCAATAAGTTTAATACTCAAGAAATTCAGATAACCAAATCTCAACATGATAATTCTATTTTTTTCAGTCAAATTTCAGTAGAAAATATCAACAAGATAATTCAAACGATTTTGAACTGAATTAAGTCTCATATTCGCTGCACAAGTAAACGCCTTTCTGGACTCAGTGGCTAAGTGAATAACGCGACGCTGTTGGAGGCCAATGGTGCCGGGTTTGAGTCTTGAAGTGGACATCAACTCTGGGATGTGGGTACATCCAGTCAACGAGTCCTAAATGGAACAAAACGTGCATCCTGAATCCTACTACTAGTGACATTCCATCCAGTCTATATTAGCAACGCAACACTTCTGTGGTCGACAAATACATACTGTTACTCAAAAGACAACGGCATGTTGAAGGTGTAACAAATATTCTATCCTCTCACTCCGAAGAACAAATTGTAACACTTTTACAAATATCAAACGGTATATTTATATACTATCTTTGATTAATCTAATAAATTCTTCAGTCGTGATTTAGCTTGTTTTTATAAAAAGTTAGATAGGATCATATGAGAGGAGATGAAGTTGTGTCATAACAGCTAGAGCTAAGAATATTAGATTTCTCGTTTCATCAGATAGTAACTAGTTTTCAATTGATAATTTACTTCCGAATTAATAACTGTTCGCTCAGTTGTCCGGCAACATATCAACAATACTAGAAAAGTGATAGTAATTAAACATATGTAACCTGTTCGTACTACCGACTTTTCATGAAAATTTCCCATTTACAAAGCAGAATATAGTGTAAAATCCTATATTATTCCACTTAACCTCAATAAATAAACCAAGGGAAAGAATTAGAAGAAAGCATATGCCAAGCTGAGAAAAAGTAAACTTTTACATTATGCAAATAAAAGTTAGATATAGAAGCTAATCAGAGACAAATATCCAAGACATGAAAAACATGTCCAAAACGGCAAACGGATTTATTTACAAATGACACCGTTGATTTTGCCACTTTTTACCTTAAATTCTGCCTTGAATTTTTATTGTCTTAGTGAAACGATTTTTGTAAGATTTAAAGACTTACATCCCCGCAAATAAGAAGATTTAGGAGGGAAAAAGAAGGGCTGTGTAAGGAAAAAATTCTATTGAAATTTGAAGGCTAAATGGTCTGATAAGCCAAAAATCAATATCCGATTTTGATGTATCCATAAAAACCATTATCTTGTGGAAAATGTTTCAATATTTAGAAACTAATTTAAGTCAGAGGAAAATGATCCGTGACGTCATTTTGCTTACAAGTGCTGAAGAGATACCCTAGGTGCTGCTGTTGTTCTGCATAATAATGTTCAGTTTGGAAGGATGAGAAATATGTTCGATGAGCATTTCTAGACTATACTTCTGTATTCGACACTTCCAAAAATCAGTATCATTTAGAAAGTTTGCTAGCGTTAGCACTGACAGCTAGATAACCGATTGACCGTGCTTATTCCTCTTTATTAACTCAACTTGGTGTTCCACAAAGAGCTGCTCTTCTGTTTTTTCTTTTCTCCTTTATTTTTCATGATCTTCCATCTTCAACAAAAATCACTTTTTAAGTATGCGGATGATCTATCTGTGTATATACAAGTTTCTTCCTATTAAAATCGCCTTGAAATGAATGAGTTCTTAGCGCGTATTGAACAACGGTCCATTTTTAATAGTCTTACACTTATTCCTTCTAAATGTAAATCTGTTAACTTCAGCCTGAGAAATGAAAATTACTTAAACATTCTGCTTGAATAACATTGATTTTAATGATTGGAGATTCTGTAGTTAAAATATATCAAAGTTCATTTACCTTGGGGTACATTTTTCCTCTGATCCCCCTTGATGTACTTATGTTATATTATTATCGAAGAAAATCCTGTCAGTCTTATGTGAAGAGGTTACATGTTTTTGGCATTAACCGATATTTACTCTAACGATTTGTAAATTCTTGTACTTTATATATCATGCTTTACTGCCTCCCATTATTTTTTGGACTTTTGAGAAACGGTTTCGCTGTATTGTGAAGAGTGCTAAAGGCATTTGTAAGGTATTTGATGAATCATTAATGCCATTGTGGAGGTTTGTAAATAGACATTTTAAGTCTTGGATGTGTTACTTTATCAAATACTAATCACTCACTCCATTTACATTTTTATTCATGTATACTTCTGGACAAAATGAGAAGCAGATACATTAGGATTCATGGATGCAATACTTTATCTAGAACATTTACCATGTGAAGAACAGGCAGCAAAAGCTGACCTAACTGAAAAATTGTGTGCTCGAGCAAATTACTAATTCACAGTTGTATAGATTCTTGTTTTCTGAAAAAATATTTCATTTAATTCTGAATAATCAATTTACTTATTTTACATGTATAAGCATATAAGCACATTTTTCTTTTTTGGTGAAGTAATGAATGTGGGCTAATGGTAGGACAAAATAGCTGTTTAGTGATTCCTAGTTTTCAATTGTTCGATAATCAAAGTTAGAAACTTCGAAAACTAATTTACTTGCATATACAACATCAAACAAGTAATTGTAACATAAACTCATTACAATGTTCATTATTACACATAAATTGACAATACTCAGGGAAATATTTGGATACAAGTATACAGTGATGTTTTTAAAATATGAAAATTATAAGAAATATATAATAATTTATAATATTGGCTTACTTGAAAGTTGGCTACTATACTCATACCAACTGCACATATAAGACCAAAACATAAAGCAACTCTAGCCAATCTAATTTGACGATAACATTGTTGATTAAATTTCTGGCTACAATCTAGCAAATGTTTATGCCATGAGTAGAAGCATAAACCTGCTTTATTATTATAACGAACAGATGACAGCAGTAAGGAAAAAATGACAAATAATACATGATTATGAAAAATTGTGGGAGAGAGAAAGGCAACATGTATTCTTAAATAAGGTTATTAAACCAAATAACAAATACAAGATCAATAAAATAGTTACAAATATTGTATAGCACGTATACAATGTTACCTCAAGGTATCCTGCAATTTTTCATATGGTGACTAAAAAATAACCTATCCGAATAGTTACTTATATTTATAAACAAATGTAAGAGCTGACAAATGTGTTCAACGATTCAACTGGCCACATTTCACATCAGAACAATGGGAGGAATTTAGCAAGTTCTGTAGTGATAAGTGAAAATAATTATAGCGATGGTAATAGAAAACTAAACATAAACTTATCCATATATTTCTAACTTAATTCTGCACTATCCATCAGAGTAGCTGATACAGTAAGAATGTATAGCATATATCTTCAGCAAATATCTACACAGAAGGGGTAAAAATAAAACTAAACAAGTTTCACCTAATCATTTACAACATATCAATAGATTAGGTCAAAAAAATTAAGCAAAGGTTATACATTCAGTTAAAAATCCAACAATTCTAATTAGTTATACTTATTAAACTTGTTGATTAATTGAAAACTTTTTTAATTTTACTATTACTACCACTGTTAATATCAGGAAATGTTGCAGTCTATGTGTGTTAATAATGAAAGCACTATTACAGTACCCAAGTATATCTAGATGAATTATAAATTTTCAAAACATTATAAAAGTATTTTTCACTAAAGTAACAAAGATTGTCGTTAGCTAACAATCGAACATGTGATAGTGACTACAAATACTGCTTTTGCTAATAATTATTTGACAATTTTTTTATGATGTCACTAGTCGAAATGAAGTATTCGATGATGAATAATGTTGAATAGATTACAAACTGCATCATTGCTTATAATTTAATAACATGAAACAAATAAACAAATGGGAGAAAATAAACAAAACATATAGAGTAAGAAACATTGAGGTATTGATTGTTAGATAGATATCATTTTAAAGAATCCCAATAAATATGAGGAATGTAAATTTTATTTTGTTTAACCTCGAGTGTCGAAGATAAAACAGTGCTAGTCTATTGATACATCGACACTTGACTCATTATTAATTACATTGAATTTTTTGATCTATAGATTTTTCTACCAATAATTAATATCTTATATGGTTACTATCCAATGACTAGATGATACAGTTAATTATATACGTTATATATATACGTTATATATGATTTGGTGAGGATAATGAATACTTTCAAGTCTAAAGACACAATAATCTCTCATACAGATCAATGATAAAGATGGCACGTAGGTTGAATTACAACCTGTTAATTATGATTACATATTAAATCTTTAAATATACATATTGAAGTACATTACATTAACAGAATATTAAACAATGTGAACTATGTTATTTGTCATTTACCCAAAACTGAAACAATATTTAATAATTGACCGAAAATACAACTTTCTGGGATCTTTGAACCAGCATCACTTAGGTATTTTAAAAAAGAAAAAGAAGAGTGGGAAGAAAACAGTTTAGATCCACTTGTAATCTATATTTTTAATAATGGCAGTAACAATGAAAAATAATTTATTTTTGTCTTATATATGGTTACTTTTTATAGTATTAACCATGTAAAATGTTTCCTGAAAGAAATTGACTAACATTTCAGTCAATCATACATTCTTTTGAGAGCTACTAAACTATAAACCATACATTCTGACTGGCAGTGGAATTAAGTAGGTGTTTTCTTCTGATTTAGGACTGGTTAGTCGCATTTACTTGACTCCTAGCGTTTATGTTAACCAAGAGACTCAGATTTAGGATCTATTGCTTCAACGATAATTACAAAGCTTTTCATAAGAAATAACACATGCCTTCTAGTGTTCTATTCTTCCCAAACTGGAACCGGGTCGCCCCAAACAAATTTTCACTCAATTCAGTCTCATTAAATGGTTTTGAATGGTTACATATGGATCAACACATAAGCATTCACTTTTTATCATCTCTTAAGTCCTGAGTTTCAATCTTATTTCGTACTTTTTATCAGTTGCATTCAGCACATGTTCTCGAACCGTATTCTCCAATGTTTATGATTTCTCACCATCAATGATACTACTATAACCCCGGTTGTTTTGTTGTTCCCCTTGTTAATTTCGTCTCTCCATGTTTATGTAGTTACGGCAACTTGGACTAACAAATATTTGTGACAGCTTCTGGTGTGGTTGACTGAGGCGAAAATCCCAACATAAACAAAAGCAAAAATAAACCATTCATATAAATTATTTGATAAAACCGTTAATTTCAATGAACTAATAAGGTTGGTAACAGTATTTTCTTTCATTCACTATCTTCAATATTGATAGATTTTATATGATACTACATATCTTACCCCAATGTACAAATAATATGCCGAAAATGGTAATCCACAAACTTTAGAGTGATTTATAGTTTAATTAATTAGTCATTCATTGTTAAATACTAACATATTCACTTAAAACAACCAGATAAAAAATATATTTACTAATTCGCTTAAATATTGTTTCTTGGTCCCTATCCATTTAAGATTTGAGACATTGTTTCGGGTCAGTCATGTTATTTGTAACGTAGAACTTGACATACATATTTATCAGTTCAAGTTGTCATACCACTCTAGTACAGTGAGATAAAATTATCAAGAAATCCTAAGGTGATAAAAGTAGTAACAGTACCATTAACAGTAGTAAAGATTAGGTATAGGAAGAGAAAACTAGGTAAAGAGACCTCAGGACTCAGGTTCTGAAGGAAAACAAAGAGTACGTGCATCTGTACTATTGCAAAAGATTCTGAGCCATTATTATTATTATTATTATTATTATTATTATTATTATTATTATTATTATTATTATTATTATTATTATTTACTACGTCATTATTCACCCTCTTTTATTCCTACTCTGTCTATACTTATTTTTTCCGACTTATGCAGCAGCTCGTCTATGGTGGAAAGTCGGTTGTATCTAAACGTTCTCGAGTCACTGTCCGGTTGAAAATTGTATATTACCACCGTATACGAGAACTGAAGCAGTTTTTTTGAAACCACGTGCACCATTCAAACTGGCTGCCTTCAACGTTCGCGCATTTATGCAGGTCGGACAACAGATAGGGCTGGCTATGTCTTTGGAAAGTCTTAATATTGATGTTTGTTGTCTATCCGAGACCCGTATTCAAGACTCTGGTGAAGTACTACAAATTCGCTCTCCATCTGTTGCTTCGAAAAGCTTGTTTTACGTGCGCTTATCCGGGGACCCTGCGGCATCTTCGGCTGGTCTTGCTGGCGTCGGTGTCGCACTAAGCGCTAGAGCTGAGGCAGCACTAGTCGATTGGATCCTCATTAACAGTCGGTTATGTGCTGTTAGATTAGAGAGTTCCATCAAAGTGAGAAGAAATCGGCGTGAGAAACGATGTCTTTTCGTCATCTCCGCCTATGCCCCGACAGATTGCAGCCCGGATGCAATCAAGGATGAGTTTTACCACCAGTTATCTGTTCTTCTCCAGAAAGTGCGTTCGACAGATATTGTAGTACTAGCCGGAGACTTGAATGCTCAGGTCGGGCGTCTAGGCACAGAAGAGAGTCGTTTAGGTGGCCGATGGGGACTCGTTGGTCGCAGGTCAGATAACGGGGACGGGGACCGTCTATTGAAACTGTGCACAGACCACAACCTGTTTCTGGCTAGCACTGACTTTCGGCACAATCATCGCCGCTGTGCCACCTGGCGTCCTCCCTCTGCATCTCAAGCCTGGACTCAAATTGATCACATCGCGATCAGCTACCGTTGGCGTGGTTGTGTACAAGACTGCCGCTCCTTTTGGAGTACCTATCTGGACTCTGACCATGCCTTGGTCTGCGCCAATCTTGCCTTACTTTTCAGTGGCCAACGAAGTGACCGCCACAAACGGATTGATGTTAGCAAGCTGGTTGCAACTTCTGTTGCAAGTAAGTATCGAACCGAGCTAGCCTCTAGGCTAGCTACCATTCCACCGAAAAGTGTAGATGAGCATTGGTTGCAACTGCAAAGCTTGCGTAAGGACCGAGAAGCCTGGTGGTCGAAGCATGCTAATGAGCTGGAAGCAGCAGCTGCATCTGGTAACTACCGGAAGCTCTTCAAACTCATCCGAGTAACTGGCAGCAAGAAGTCTGGTGTGAGTGAAACAATCTGCGAGGGTGATGGGATGCCAATCACTAACATCCATTGACGTCTTGGACGGTGGGCAGAATTTTTTTAAGGGCAGTTCAACTGGCCTGCTGCTCCGGCAACATCGGTCAGACTGGCCTGTCCTATGGCAGGTGACGGCTGATCCACCAAATGAGGCGGAAGTCCGCAAGGAACTCCAACTCTTGAAGCGTTACAAATCACCTGGCCCAGATGACTTACCTCCGGCTCTTTTTAAAGATGGTGGTGACTTTCTGACTAAGGAATTGACGACGTTGTTTACAAAGGTTTGGGAGCTAGAGAGTGTACCAACGTCATGGAATGAGTCGATAGTTGTCCCTATCTTTAAAAAGGGTTCACGTCGTTCTTGTAACAACTATTGGGGGATAAGTTTACTTCCGATTGCGTACAAGCTATTGGCTTCCGTCATTCTTCGTAGGTTGTTCGAAACCCGAGAAAGATTGACTCGCGAGGAGTAAGCTACTTTTCGTTCCGGCCAAGGATGTATTGATCATATCTTCACCCTCCGACAAATGTTAGAACACCGTCATACTTATCAAAGGCCAACAACCGTAGTGTTTCTTGACATCAGGGCTGTCTTCCATTCGTTGGATAGGACTGTTCTCTGGGATTGTCTATTGAGGAAGGGTGTGCCTGAGAAGTTTATTAACATCCTAAAAGCCCTATATACAAACACCTCAGGCAGAGTGAGGGCATACAACCACCTCTCTCCATTGTTCCATTCGAGCAGTGGGGTTAGGCAGGGTTGCCCAATCTCACCATTCCTCTTCAACTTTGCCATCGACGACATTCTGGAAACAGCTCTGATGGATGTAAGTAATGGCGGTGTGGATCTGTTGCCTGGAGAAAGACTTCTCGACCTTGAGTATGCGGACGATATTGTCTTACTGTGCGATAATCCCCAAGGCATGCAATCCGCACTTAATCAGTTGGCAATCAGTGCCCGTAGGTATGGTATGTGCTTTGCACCTTCCAAGTGCAAAGTACTTCTACAAGACTGGCAGGATTCCAATCCCGTACTCACCCTGGACGGTGAACAGATAGAAGTAGTCGAGAAGTTCGTGTATCTGGGTAGCTGCATAAGTGCTGGTGGGGGTGTGAGTGATGAGATCAATGCACGTATAGTGAAAGCCAGAGCGGCTTATGCCAATCTGGGCCACCTTTGGCACCTTCGTGATGTTAGTCTGGCCGTAAAAGATCGGATTTACAACGCATCGGTTAGAGCAGTTTTGCTCTATGCTTGTGAAACCTGGCCACTCCGAGTTGAGGATGTTAGCCTACTTTCTGTGTTCCATCATCGTTGTCTCCGAAGGATTGCTGACATCCAGTGGCAACACCGCGTTAGTAATGCAGAGGTTCGGCATCGTGTGTTCGGGCACAGAGATGATAATTCAATTGGTGTCACCATCTTGAAACACCGACTTCGGTGGCTTGAACATGTTCTCCGAATGTCGTCCCAGAGAATTCCACGTCGTGCATTAATTGCCGACTCTGGGACTGGTTGGAAGAAGCGGAGAGGTGGTCAGTGCACGACATGGTGTCGTGGTATGAAAGAAAGCTGCAAAGGGCTGGCTTCTGTCGGTCCTTCAAGACTCCCTGGTTGGGGTCTGAGAGATGGTGCTACACAGTGGTTAGGGAAGTTATCAGATATGGCTCAGAATAGAAGCCAGTGGCGATCATGCTGTAACCTTCTTTTACTTTCTTCACAAAACGTGATTGTATCTTCCTTAACTGAAAGATTTCTTCTGATTGTACCCTTCTGTTCCCCTACTATTACTTTTATTATTACACTACCTAACAACAATCTCTTCATTATTGTTTATTATTATTATTATTATTATTTTACGTTCCTCACTTTTTTTCTTCTTAAATTCTCATTGTTTTGTGTGGCGCATATATATTTGGCGCATTCCTGTACCAATATATATGTGTTCAAATAAATAAATAAATAACGTGACTCATTTACCATGCACAAGTTTATGCACTCAGCAGTGGGTCACACATTTATGTGGGGATTAGTGATACTATCTGATTGCACAGACACATGTAAATGAAGAAGGGTCTTGATTACTTTAACCATTACGCCATCGCACTTAAGCGCGGCAAGAATGATATTCATTGTGCAATCTTAACGGCGGACAAAATTTTCAGTCATATAATATTGGATATACCACATCCCGGTCGTAGCTGCTACCTTGACGCGTTGGTCGGGCTTGCCTATCGTAATGACCCAACCGAGCTATATTGGTTGGAACATATGTTCCTGTAGGTTCTAC